ACCGATGGATTGCTCTCCGAACGAGGAATTCATTGGCGGGGTCACACGTTCGGATCTAGTCCCATTTAGCGACTCTGCCGCTCAAAACGAGTTGGGGATTTTGACCGCCTCCACCGGTCCTTCAGCCCACCGAGCGTTTGCCAGTTAGAGTACACGACCAACCTTTCAAAACCAGCTATTCCAAACTGAAAAGCGGAAGAACAACAATAATAACGTCATGGAAATCCCGGATGGCCGAAATCGACCGAAATCCTCGATGATTAAACGGTCGGTGGACGTAAATGACGCGGCAATTATAGAATAAAGCGGGTCGACGACAAAGCGGCAAAGCGGCAACGCGATAGGGCACGCCTGGGCACGCCGGGACCAGCCAGTCTCCCCGGTCATTAATCCACTGTAGGGACGGGGGGACGCTGCTGGAGTTGATTCCAAGTTTGGAGAGCCTGGGCCGGCCTGCGATGCCGCCGACGAGACTCTCGACGAGACTCTCGACGAGACTCTCGACGAGACTCTCGACGAGACTCTCGACGAGACTCTCGACGAGACTGGTGACGCTGAGGCGCTTTATCGCTCCAAGTGGCCACATCCGGCCGGATCTGGCGCCTCGGCACGTCTCGGCAAGGCACGGTACACGGCCCGGGATTTGCCATTCCCCCGCCAACTTTTCGAAGAAGGCTCTACGTGTCGGTGCCGTGGGCGAGGGAGCACTGTAAAATGGTACGTCTTCCTCACCCTCCGCAGTACAAGGACAAAGGACAAGGGATGTGACTATCGACCCTCGGGACCGCAGCGTTTGAGTCTCATAATTGGTTTTACATTTTTTCTGCAACGAGCCTCTGGTACGAGGAGCAGTGCTCAAAATATCTACGATGCACTATGAATTATCAGAGGTAAGTTACAAGGTCATGTGAAACAAACTAGATACTGTAGGGCGATGTTTCACCACGAAAGGTAAAATTCTTTACATACAATTTGTATGAAATGTATCCTTCAGACTCGGGTCTTGGAATCTTTCAGGAACGCCTGTGTATTTACCACAATGGCAGAATCTTTCTATACAGCAGTATGGAGAATCTTCACCACAATATGGAGAGCCTTCATCAAAATATGCAGAATCTTCACGCAACGTATGGTCAGAATCTTTCCACCACAGGAGACTTATCAAGATGCGAATCTCGGCGCTATGGGAGCCCAGCCTGTGGTCTCTGCTGGTTGGACCACGGCCCAATGGGTCCGGGCGCTGCTTTCGCGTTGTCCCCCAGGCTGAGGCCGTGGCAGCCCTTGCTTGTTGCTTCGCTTGTTGCACACATTGTGGCGTGCAGCGCAGAGCAGAAGCGAATCGCCAGAAAAAAAACCGACCCGTCCGTCCATGAGTGGCAAAAACCCTTTATTTATCCCCGATTCCAGGGCAGGGCTTGTCCCGCGCAGCTGCTCCATGTTAGCCCTATCTGGAAAATCGGGAAAACATCAAAGTCCCCCAGCGCTTCGCTCCGGTTTTTCTCTCCACTTGGTTGAGACCGTTATACTCCTTTTACTCGTTTTACTCGTTTCACGCACACTGAGCCGAGGCTCCGGGCTATCGGCTGTGCCAACAAGGGCCGCGCGACCGCTGCACGCCCATGGCACGCCCGTGGCACGCCCGACACCTGTCAAGCGCGTGTCAACGCGGCGAGAGCGAGCGGGGGTGAGTTAGCTGCCGGCTGGCTGGCGGCCCTCAAGTTTGCCCACCCCACTCAGTTTTCCCCTTTTTCCCCTTTTCCCTCGCTAGCTCGCCTCCAAGCCGAAAGCTACGACGACGACGGACCCGACCGAAAAAGACAACGTTGATTCTCTCTCGTTCTCTCTCTCTCTCTCTCTCTCTCTCTCTCTCTCTCTCTCTCTCTCTCTCTCTCTCTCTCTCTCTCTCTCTCTCTCTCTCTCTCTCTCTCTCCCCCGCCTGTGACACTGCCTTTCATTACGGACCTTAATTCCCCCGCCCGTCAACAAAACGTCGGTACTTGGCGAAAAGTCGAAAACAAGTCGAGTTTATAGAAAGCAGCAACAGCCGCTCTTTCAATTCGCTTTGAATGAAGATGGACAGGGAAAATACATTTCGGCTAGTTGTTCTCTTTGCTTTTGTTTTTTTAGAAGAACAACAAGAAACATGTTGCCTTTTATCTCGCAGCCGGTGGCTATGCTGCTTATCGGCCGGTCGGCTTGTTGGTCGTGTCACAGACGTCACGGACGGGACGTGACGGGCACGGGATGGTCTTTCCTCTAATGGAGAGCAGAAGGCAGGCAGGCGTGCGCACAGTGGGCCAGAAGACCGGCGCCGGCGGCCAAACCTCAAGACGCGTTTGGAGCTCCATAGTCACTAAACAGGACTCGAACCGATCGTGTGACCTCACCGATGGATATTGCTTGTTCGGAGAGCAATCCATTAAAGGGGTCACACGTTCTGTCCGAGTCCCGGTTAAAGACTCTGGAGATCAAAACGCGTCCGGGATTTTGACCGCCTCCGTCGTTCTTCTGGCCCATTGCGGCGCAGAGACAAAGGCAACGCGATGCGACGCGAAGGGATGCCTTCGAAGCGTGTTAAATTTTTAACGCTACTATAATTTTCTTTAGCTCACAGACAAGATCACAAATTGAAGTTTCGAAAAAGGTGGCTGCTCCCACAAGTGCGAAAAGAAGGGCTCCTGTTCGTTTTCTACTTTTTCTTCAGAGGGAAAAGAAGGTGAAGGAAGGAAAGCAAGTGCTTGTTCCGTGCCACCGTGCCGTGTCCTACCTTCGCCGCCAGCCAGGTGTACACGGCAACCCTTTTGTGCGACTGCATTCCCTTCCCGGCCCCGAGGGCCCCGGGGGACGCTGCGCCGCGCTGCCCCACGGGCCGGAGAGCGCGACGCAATTTGCAAAGCCGCGTCGCTGCACTGCCTTTGCACACTGCACTGGCGGCAGGGGCGGCCGGAGAGCACGCCGCGGGCGGTCCGTGCGACTGCCAGTGAGCCAGAAGACCGGTGGGGGCGATCAAAATCTGGGACGTGTTTTGAGCTACAGAGTCGCTAAATGGGACTCGAACCGAACGTGTGACCCCACCAATGGATGGAGCAATTTGGACGTCATTTCAATTCTTACGTGACATGCGTTTTCATTTCTTTAAAATTCTCCTTTTTTACTCAGTACTAACGTCAAAGTCAGCGCGTCATGCACCGAGGGTTTTTTTTTTACTTTCCCCCTTTTCCCTTAATCAAGTAGTCCCCGCGCCGTGAAAGCAACTCAAAAGTTCCGTCGCTACCCCATGCATTAACAATGGGGTACTCCCGGTCATCCGAAGCCGAGCCTCTGCAGAACGCGCCACGCCACGCCACGCCACGCCACGCCACTCTAAGCCAGGCCGAGCCAGCCTTCCCAGGGCTGCGGTGCCCTGGCGGTGCCCTGGCGGTGCCCGGCACGAATAAAGCGGAAATAAAAGAAGCCGCTCGCCTTTCAGCCCGGCGAGGCTGCGTCCGAAAAAGCGCTCTGTCTCGCTCGCACGCGCGGGGCGGCCCGGAAGGGTGCGAGAGAGACAGCGCGACTCCGCGCTGTGGCCGGCCCCGCCTTTGACGCGAACGCAAGCAATAATTTGAGTGGGGCGGAGAGTGTGTTCGCGCGCAAAGACAGCGCGCCGCCGTGGCGTGGCGTTCCGTGGCGTGCCGTGCCACGCCGCGTTTCATCTTTTGAATCGAATCAGCAGCCAATTTTGCGGAAGCTCTGCGCCAGACGGTGCGGAGCGCGGAGCAGCCGGTCTTAATTGACAAGAAGCATGAACCGCTACATTCGCGATTTCGTGCTAATGGCAGCAGACCGATTCCGGGGGTCCCTTTCGTCACTCTGTCTCTCTCGCACCTATACGGGACGCCCCATGAGTGCGAGAGAGACAGAAGCGACGGGTCTGCAGCAGCAGTTGCACTGCGTTACGCCGTAGGGCACATTCTCTCATGGTTAAGGCCTGGCGAGTGTACCAGCCGAGGGCTGCGGGCGACGGCGTCACGTGATTGCGTCCAACTTGGAGGGGCTTATGTGACATAAGCCCTCTGCTCAGCACGGCGTGGCGGGGCGCGGCGGAGCAGGGCGGCGCCATGGCACAGTGGGCCAGAAGACCGGCGAAGGCGGCCAAAACGACGCGTTTTCAGCTCCAGAGCCGCTAAATGGGACTTGAACCGAACGTGTGACCCCACCAATGGATTGCTCTCCGGACGAGGAGTCCATTGGTGGGGCCACACGGTCGATTCGTCTTGTTTAGCCACTCTGGAGCTCAAAACGCGTCAAGAGTTGTGGCCGCCTGCGCCGGTCTTCCGGCCCACTGTGTGGCGGCGGGCACGGCCAGGCACGCCGCAGCTGATCAGCGTCGTCAGCGTCGTCAGCGTCCCTGGCCCCGGAAGGGATTCAAGGACTGCCCCGCACCGGCAGCGCCACGACCTGCCCTCTGAGCCCTAGTGTTTCGGGGTGGCCTCCCGCCCCCTCCCCCCTGCAGACTGATTCCGAGAGTCGTTTTCGTCGCTCTGTCCCTCTCGCACTCGTAGGGCGTCCCGTTGAGGACACAGAGGAAGGACTCTCGGAATCAGTCTGCCGGTGCCCTCGAGGTGGAGGTGCGTGCCCCTCAGCCCAGGCACGCGGAGCCTGCCCTCGGGGACGAGCCCTGGGACGGCCCCAGGCAGGCCAAGGCAGGCCAGCAGGCAGGCAGGCGGGCTAAGAGATTGCTCCGAAGAGCCAGGCGACGCGCACGCCCCGCGCGGCCAGCCCCCTCCCCGCCAGGCCCCGCTAGGCCCCGCTAGGCCGCATTCCTAGCGCAATCTGGGAGGGCCTCGACGCCCTTCGGAACAGTGGCGGATCCCTTTGGCGAGAAAAGTAGCCCTTTTTGCCTACTTACTTGCGTAAAGTATCGACTTTTGCCCATCTTTCAGGCGGCTGTGTCGGAGGCAACGGGGCAAGAACGCCTTCGCCCTCTTTGTGTGCTGCTTCGGAAAGGAGACCCCGCTTACCTCTGAACTCGGCCTTGGCGACCTTGTCGCCCTTGCACTTGGCGACGTGGAACTGACGCAGTCTCAGGTTGAGCGCCATCGCGGCCCCGACGTCCCCGACGTCCTCGGCGTCCGCGGCGTCCTTGGAGGAGGTCAGGTCGCGGCGCGGCGACCGGGCGAGAGTACGGCGGCCACCATGTCACTTAGGGGAGGGGAGTGGAGTTAGTCGTCGGACAGCAATTTTCGTTTTGCAGGATTTCAGAAAAAGATTTTTCAGCGTTAGAGGGAGAAATCCGAGACATCGCAAAGTCGGAGCGAAAGCCTGGGATGCCAGGAAGCGACAAGCCCGGCGAGGCGGAAGGGTTGCCTACACTGCAGGGTGGACTCTCAAAACAGCAGGCCTTCCCTCGCCCGTCCGGTCTATCCCTTGCAATGATGGATGCCCCCAACTTTAGCGTGGTGAGCCAATATTTTAGAAAGGAACCACTGCCATGGAACACGACAAGGCGCCCCACGTTATGCAAGCTAAAAAATTTCAGATCCGAAATAAATTTATGAGGCTCCGTCAAAAGGGACGTTATTTGCATGTGGTCCCCCCGAGGATTCCCCTCGGCCCCAGACCGGCGTGGAGGACGCGCCACTCCACCCTCCTCGCCGGCCGCGCGCGGACACACACACACACACACACACACACACACACACACACACGCGCGCGCGCGCGCGCGCACGCCGCACCGCCCCGCGGCCTACCAGTGGAGGGCTCCGCGCCGCTCCGCACCGCTCCGCACACCACCGCCCTCGTGGACCGCGCCAGACACACTGCCAGCGCCCGCTCCCCGTCGCCTTGACCTGTGTTTACGTATGCGCCCTCTCGCTCCCCCTGGGCGGGCCGCGGCGCCGCGGTCTCGCTCGCGCCGGGGACGCCGCCCCTCGCTGCGTCTCCCTCGGCCGCCCCCCACCGCGCGGCCAGCGCTGTTGCGCGCCCCACCACCGCCCCCACCGCCCCCACCGCCACCCCACCACCACCCCGCCCCCTCCAGCGGCCGCCACGGGCCGCCGCCCTGCGTCCTGCGTTACGGTGCGTCTTCTGCAGACTGATTCCGAGAGAAGTTTCCGTCACTCTGTCTCCCTCGCACCTGGACGGGACGCCCCACGAGTGCGAGAGAGACAGTGCGACGAAAACGACTCTCGGAGTCTGGTGCCGCTGGAGCCCTTGCTCCACCTCCACGGTGTCCGCCACCGCATTTTTCTTTTCTCTCTCTCTCTCCTCCAGCGCCTACTTTGCCCTGCCCCTCCCGTCGGCGGCGTCGGCCTAGGTTGTCATAAGGAGCCCCCCGTGCGATCCCGTTTCTCCGCTTGGGTTTCCGGTTTTAAAAGCGCTCACTCTTCCTCCCCGTGTATTGTGCTTTTTGTTCGTTGGAGACCCCGTTGACGAGCAGGGTCGGTGCGCGCCAGCCTGCGCCATAGCCCGTGCATTCTTTTCTGCGGCACGCTCCACCTCCGGGCCTCCGGGTCCAACAGCACCTCTCCCTCTCTCTTTCTCTCTAAATATATATAGCCTCACCTTTTGCCCGATCACCGGATCCCTGCCGTTCCCTCCTCGGTTCCCCGGCACATAATGGAGAGGCGAACCGAGGCCAACGAAAATACCGGCCGAAGAATGCGCCCGCCTGCCCCACCAGCAGACCGACTCCGAGAGTCGTTTTCGGCGCTCGGTCTCTCTCGCACCAGGACGGGACGCACCATGAGTGCGAGAGAGACAGAGCGACGAAAACGACTCTCGGAATCGGTCCACTAGGCGGGCCGCCACCCCGACCAGGCCGCGCCAAAATTATTTATCGCCGTCGGAACGGGAAATGAAACCAAGTAAACGTCACGCACACTCGGCTTTGGATATCGGAGCTCACGGCCTCTGAACGGGATCCGTGGTGAATTCAATCTTGTTTACTTTCATTGGGGCGGAGGGCGAGCCGGCCCGCACGTGGGCCGAGACCCTGGCCGCCAATTCTGACCGACATTTTGAGCCGAGTGGGCTGACTCGAAAAAGCGGGACCCCACCAATGGTGCTTACAAAAAATTGACCATTGGTGGGTCACAGTTCGGTTCGGCCCAAGCGACTACGAAGCAAATCCTTCGTCATAGAATCTTTTAGGCTTCTGGCCACTGTGGGATCCGAAAAACCTTCTCCGGCACGCGTAGTCGGGGGCCGCGCGCCTTCCCTGCGTTATGCGACATTGCGGTCGGTGACTCATAGCGGATATTGAAAGCGAGCGTGCGACTGTTGAATCGATTCCCCGGCCGCGGCCGGTTTCTTCCGAACAGTGCCTCCATCGCTCTGTCTCTCTCGCACGCGACGTGTCCCCGCGGGCGTGCGAGAGAGACAGCCGCTGTTTCGGCCTGCTGTGTATCTCCGTGATCATTTGAGCGGCAGCGCTATCGGACCGCCACTCTGGGAATGCCGACAGGCCGACGCGCAGCAGGCTCATTCCGAGAGTCGTTTTCGTCGCTCTGTCTCTCTCGCACTCATGGGGCGTCCCGCAGTGGTGCGAGGGAGACAGAGCGACGAAGGCGACTCTCGGAATCAGCCTGCTGGCCCTGGGAAACCGAGGGGGAGGGGCGAACCCCTTGGACTAACCGCACGATCTGTCTCTGAGAGCGTCTTGGGAACCGGGCCGGAACGGGAGGTACGCTTCACTAGTCGGCCACGTGCAGGCATTCTCTCGGAACGGACGGACAGAAGGACAGACAGACAGACAGACAGACAGACAGACAGACAGACAGCAGACAGACAGACAGACAGACAGACAGAAACTGGCACCGACAGCAACTGCCAACGTTGAATCGCTATGTTGTTCGGGAAACAGCTGCTCTGGCTCTGTCCGTCGAACGACGCCATAATAATCAGCTTCCGAGAGTTGCTGCTGCTGGCTCGGCCGGCGCTGCTTGCTGCTTCCTGCCTAAACCGGTGCGAGCCGCGGGCCTCCCTCTCGACGCGGCCCCGCCCTGCTCCTCCCGAAGGAAGGCCTCCCCGCTGCTTCTCATCCCCCAGCGCCTTGCGCCCTAATTCGCCAGCCTTTGGCCGTGCTTCCAGAAAAAAAGTCTGAGAAATGTGAAAGTTTTGTCTTTGGCGACGACCTTGGGCCTTTGCACAAAGGACGCCTAATGAAAACATGGTCGCCTCGCTTGTCCCTCACTTGTTCCGGGTGCGGGGTGTCTGGTGGTGTCTGGCGGTGTCTGGCGGTGTCTGGGCGAAAGCAACAGGGCGGCAAGGCGGGCGGCCGCAGCAGACTGATTCCGAGAGCCCGCTTTCGTCGCTCTGTCTCTCTCGCACCTGTACGGGACGCCCCATGAGTGCGAGAGAGACAGAGCGACGAAAACGACACTCGTAATCAGTGTGCATCGTGACAGCATTCAGCGACGTCGGCAAAGGAGGGAGGCGAGGAGAGGCGAGCGCACGCACAGAGCGCCTGCGAGAGGCGGGGTAGGCCCGCCCGCCCCACAGACGCGTCCAGCGTGTTGCCTATCTTCGACTTCGCAGGCGGCCCGCCCGGCCCCGGCCCGGACCGCTCTCTCTTTCTCTCTAATGACGGCCGTGGGAACGCGACCGCATGCTGCAGACTGATTCGACGCTGAGTGTAGTCACTCTCTCTCTCTCTCTCTCTCTCTCTCTCTCTCTCTCTCTCTCACACACACACACACACACCGACGGGGAGCCACCCCATTAGTGCGACAGAGACAGCCATCGCGCCGTTCGGAAAGACTCCGTTTTCGTCGCTCTGTCTCTCTCACACTCATGGGGCGTCCCGAATCGGTGCGAGAGAGACAGAGCGACGAGGTCGGCTCTCGGAATGAGCCTGTGTTGGTGCGGCCAGCACGCGCCAGACGCGTCTCCCAGTCCGGCCATTTGCAGGCGTTTTCTTTGCCGAACTTTTAATGAAGCTGTAGGAAGGTGTGCAGGGAGGCCGCGCGCCGCGCGCTGCGAATTTTCGGGCCGAGAGTTGCCAAGTTTTCTCTATCGTGACGCTTTTCCCCGCTAATCTAGGATACAAGCCGGCAGGCCTAGTGCAGGCGCGGGGTGAGGTGGGGAGGGATGGGGCGGGGCGGGGCGGGGCGGGGCGGGGCGAGGCGAGGCGGGGCGTTCCGTGGCTTTGAGTTTGGTAATTAGGACCAGGCTCGTTCATTTGCAGCGTGGGACTCGCAGGAGAGAAGAACAGAACGAGTACAATGCGTAGAAAATATAGAAATTTTATTTGAAAAGAAAATCGACATCACGTGGTTGGGAGTTGCGGTCCTTTTTATTGAATGTCGCTCATGTGGCGGAAGTCGCTGAAAAGACGAACTGAACTGAGAACCCGGAGCAGGAATTCCCAGAGGTGCACCTTGCCCTCCGCGAAAGGCTGCCTGGGGAGACCCGCTGGGGCCGGGGCCTGGGGACTGATTCCGAGAGTCGTTCTCGTCGCTCTGTCTCTCTGGCACTCACGGCGCGTCCCGTGTTGGTGCGAGAGAGACAGAGCGACGAAAACGACTCTCGGAATCAGTCTGCAGGGGCCGCGGCCGCTGCGGCCCACCGAGCAGGAAACGGCGTCATCAGCCTCGCTGCGCTCCAGCTCTGGATTGAAGCAGTTCGACCCGCCGGCGACCGGCTGCCACCTTGCATCCGACGGCCACCACAACGCCACGCGCCACTGTCGCACAAATGCTACCTTTCGATCATCTTAGTCGGATTTGGCAACGTTTATTAAAACATGTCTTACAACAGCCTTCCTGTGGAAAATACAAAAATGGAAATGGTTCTGCAAACGGCTGGATACCGCGGCTACACCGAGGACTCGCCCTCTTTGGCGGCCTCGGTGGCAGCCTTGGGGGCGACGACGGGGTGCTCCGCGATGCCGGCCAGGTTGGGCATCTGCAGCGACACGCGCCTCGGCGGCGTGGCCGTGCTGGCCGTGCTGGCCGTGCTGATGAGGGGCTCCGTCTCGGCGCGGGCGTCCGCGGCGTCCCTGCCGTCCGCGCCGGGCAGCACGGCGATGGACACGGAGGTGTCCTGCACCGGCACGATGGGCGGTGACTCCCGGGGCTGCAGGGAGTGCGGCCGAACCTGCAGCCCGCGCCCGCCCATGCCCGCCAGTGCGCCGGCCAGCATGCCCGCCCCCAGCCCCGCCCCCAGCCCCGCCCCCAGGCCCGCCCCTCGCCCTGGGCCGCCCCCGCCGCTGCTGCTCGTGCTGCTGGTCGAGCTGGGCGGCCGTCGGCCGGCGCGCTGGCCGGCGCGTGCCAGGATCACGCCGATCCCCTCCAGCTCCTCGGGCAGCAGGTCGTCCGTGTCTGCAGAAGGAAAGCAAATCACCAAAGGGCGAAGGACTCGTACAGCAGACTTATTCCGAGAGTCGTTTTCGTCGCTCTGTCTCTCTCGCACTCATGCTGCATCCCGTATACGCGCGCGAGAGACAGGGACGAAAACGACTCGCGGAATCAGTCTACAGGAAGTGACTGGGGCTAGGTTCCGAACGGCCCGCCGTCATCGTCCTGTCTCCCTCGCACGACGGGGCGCCCATGAGAGGAAGGCAGACAGAGCGTCCGACTGGACTCTCACCGGAGTTGGCCTGCCGGCGCGGCAGCTGCCCCAGTCCCAGCGCCGCCGTGAGGGCGCCGGCCGCGCCCAGCGAGGGGTCGCTGACGTGCGTGCTGCGGTGCACCAAGGCCGCCATGCTGGTGATGCGGCGCGCCGTGAGGTGCCGCCGCTTGAGCTGGTCCGACAGGTCCAGGCTCTCGTCGTCCACCGCGTGCCGCCCGTACTGGCCGCAGTACTGTGCAGACGGCCGAGGAGTTAGCGAGTTCGGTGTCACATGTCCGTGGTTCAAACACTCGTGTTGGTTTTCGTTTTTCTCTGTGTTTGTGGACGTACCTTCTGGTAGGGACTGGCGCGGAACGCCTTGCGCAGGGTCTCGGTGCTCTCGGCCACCTCCTGCGCGGACATGCGGTAGGCGCTGGGGCGGGCCGCTGCCGCCGCGACGCTGGAAGGACGCCGAAGTTCGCCCTGCCAGGAGCGCACGACGGGGCCCTGGGCGGCGCCCTGGACGCCGCTCTGCACCGCGCTGCCGGGCCAGTCGAACGGCGACCGGCGGCGCAGCTGCACGCCGGGGAAGCGCTGGTCCGCCAGGCCGGCCAGGCCCTCCGTGGACGTCTGCGTGCCCACGTCCTCGCCCTCCACGTCCAGCACGTCGCCGTTGTGGAGGATGGTGGCCTTGTGGTCCTCCACCAGCGTCACCGGCCCGTACAGGTGCGCGAAGTGTTGCCTGCAGGCATGCGCAGAGAGGGTCGCAAGGGTTAAACTCACCTTCACTCCCTCCACTGCACTGTGGGCCAGAGGACCGGCGCTGGCGGTCAAACCTCTGGACGCGTTTGGAACTCAAGAATCACTAAATGGGATTTGAACCGAACGTGTGACCCCACTAATGGATTGCTCTCGGAACGAGGAATCCATCGGTGGGGTCACACGCTCGGTTCGAGTCCTGTTTAGCAACTCTTGAGCTCAAAACGCGTCCAGAGGTTTGGCCGCCAGCACCGGTCTTCTGGCCCACTGTGCACCAAGATTCCGTTCTCTGGATCGGATGCTCGCTAGTAATTACTGCCAGAGTAACGCTGCACTGCGCCCGGTCGCTCTGTCTCTCTCGCACCGGGAAGGGGACACCTCCGTGAGTGTGACAGAGGCAGAGCGCCGGAGCCAGCATGGCCCAGCATGGCGCAGCATGGCCCAGCGTGGGGTGGCCGTTAAACTTTTACTCACGCCAGGGCCTGCTTCTCGTACAGCCGGGTCAGCGAGTTGTCCCTGTTGGCGTCGCGCAGGAAGATCCGCTTCAGGTACACCTCGTCGATGTACTCCCACTTGCGCTGCCGCGTACAACAGGTGGTCAGGCTATTTTCACTCGCTAGGAAAGCGAACCTTCATTCAAGCACGGTAAAAACGGTTCGTGGTTTTCCCAGGAACTCCCTGGAAATGGCCTATGTTTCTACCCTTCCTGGGAAAACCAGATACCGTTTCTACCGTGAGCATACAACTTAGCATGAAGACTTCGTGCTTGATGTCGAGCGTGGAGAAAAGAATTACTTCCATACATTTACATAGGCGGGAGAAGCAGCGGATTGGAAGCATAGCAACCACTCCGCTAGAAAAAAGGTGCCACGTATTGATTTTACCAAACTCTTACCCGGATATAAAAGTCCCCTCTGACGCCGACTATCTCCTCGATCCCGGCCATCATGTGACCAATCACCTGCGATGTAAAAGAATCACGAAAAGGATTTAATAAAAACCTCTAGATCGGTTAGTAACAAGAAGTACCGCGCCACTCTCTTTGTCTTACGTTATCGTTCATTTCCTCGTTGAGCGTTTTCTGGCAGTCTTGCTTGCTTTTCTCGATGTTGAGCAGTTTCACCAGAGGCTTGATCGTGGCGCCCTGTGCAGCCGGACATTAGAAATCACACTGACCGCGCGTAAAAATATTTCACACTGGAAAATGCTTGCAAAGAAAAACTCCGCAAGTTGCAAAGAAAATGAAGGCCTTGTAGAATTTCTCTGAGGAATGCTTCGACCTATTGCAAAGAAAATCCTTTTAGTGAGGAGTCGTCTAGTTACGTTACGCTTTTCATTAGCTCTGTCCTTGTTGCTCCTAATGGACTTCCATGGAGAGAGGCATAAGACGTTTCATTACACGTAAATGCGCGTAAATGAACCTTTACAAAGCTCTTACGCGACGCCCATTTAAGAATGCCTTCATTTTTTTGTTCGCAGAGGAAGCGGTTCTTCGTACACTTCTTTTTTACAGTTCATTCATTCATTCATTCATTCATTCATTCATTCATTCATTCATTCATTCATTCATTCATTCATTCATTCATTCATTCATTCATTCATTCATTCATTCATTCATTCGTTCGTTCATTCATTCATTCATTCATTCATTCGTTCCTTCGTTCGTTCGCTCGTTGACGACGCGGACCTGGAAGAAGATGGTGAAGAGGATGACGACGAGCGTGGTGGTGAGAAAGACGTGCCGCGGCCGCACCGTGTTCTCGTCCAGCATCTCCACCAGCGAGAAGGCGATGGCGCCGCGCAGGCCGCCGTAGCCCATGATGAACTGCTCCTGCAGGTTGATCTTCTTGACGCGGAACATGTTGGCCAGCCCGGTCAGCAGCAGCACGCCTGCAACCACACCGGAAGGAAAGGACACCGTGAAAGGGCCGCCACGTTTCAATCAAATCCAAAGGAATGTCTTGATTGTACGGTACGTCCAGAGGGTTTGAGTGATTTTTTAAAGTTGTCCAAAATCAACGCCATTCTGGGCTTTAAATGCTTCGTTTCGTAAGGTCTTGACACATGAAAAGTTTGAACAACGCTCAACAACCCGTATGGAAGCAATCGCACAAGTCAGTTTTTGGCCATCTTCAGTGTATTGCCCCCTTCAAGGGCATAATTTTAATGCCTTTGTTTCACCAGTGCACGTTTGGTTTCACAGTTTCACAGTTCGTTGACGAACGCCGCAAAATTGGATTCAAACTTGGCGCTCTTTTGCCTTACCGCCGAACCGGCAGACGAGACACAGCAGCAGCGTCCAGGACACGAAGCCGGTGTGCCACACGTGCCGGTCGCTCACCAGCACCATGCCCAGGAACAGGAAGATGATGGCGTCCGACGTGGAGCTGAAAATGGAATGGATATCCAGACGTCGTTTCGCGGAAACATTTTCGTCACGTTTTGGCGCGGGAATTCCAAGAGACAGGCCTGGCGGGCGGGGCTGGGACGGGACGGAACGCCACAAGGCTAAGACGGCGCCAATAAATCAAGCGTCGCCAGCAGGCAGTCAAAGTCAAGGCAGGCGTCGGGGTGAGACGAGGGGGAGGGGCGCATCAGTGCCACCCCACGAACCACCCCGCCCCGCCCCGCCCCGCCCCGCCCCGCTCCGCCCCGCCCCGCCCCACCCCGCCAGCGCCACAGGGCGTATCGCGAGACGCGCCGTGCCCCGCCTCCAACGAGCGCCCCGCGCACAATGCAATTCATCAGCAAAGTTCAATGAGAATAAACGAAACGGGACGAGACAAGAATCCTGAAGAGAAAAGGTGGTGAAAGGCGCCGACAGTGGAATAAAGCCGGTTGTTTCTTCACCTGACCATCTTGGTGAAGTACTTGACGGTGGTGAACGACTTGCTGGAGATGTTCCTCAGCGCGTAGTGGGACTGCGCCAGCCCGCAGCCGATGATGCTGGCCAACAAGAAGAAGGGGCAGATGCATAGTGCGCGGCGGAGGCACTGGCGGGTTTACCCGCCATTTCCATATGCAAAATCATGCCATCCTCGGCCAGGCCGGGGCGTCTGAGTGTCTGAGTGCCCCGACCCTGGAGGCCGAGGCCAGCCCCGCGGCCCGCCGACGGCTACCCGAGCGGCTACCTGATGATGCCCGAGAAATGGAACAGCTCGGCCGTGATGTAGGACAGGTAGGCGATGCCCAGCACGGCCAGCGGCTCCACCACTGCAACACGCCAAAAAAAATTATCCGAAAGTGAGAACTGGATCCGGGATTCGAACCCCGCGCCCCGGCCCGCTCACCTCTGACTTCCTCCGTGGTCCTGGTGAGCAGCGCCGTCACCAGGCCGAACACCACGCCGAGGGACAGCCCACCCAGGCTGACGGTGAAGAAGGCCAGCACTGCAAGCACGTACTGCTCGCCGTGCACCTCGGGCAGCTCCGCGAACGTCACCATGGTCGTGTACAGCACCACCGTCACGGCGTCTGCAGAGCAACAACGTGGTCGATGTCCCTGGTGCGGATCACAGCGGGTTTGCCAGAAGGCCGGTAGAGTGGTCAAAATTCTCGACGCGTTTAGAGCTCTAGAGTCGCTAAATGGGACTCGAGCCGAACGTGTGACCCCACCAATGGATTGCTCTCCGAACGAGGTGAGGAGGAACGCCGGCGCCGGTCTTCTGGCCCACTGTGCGGATCCAGGATTCTTCCAAGCTAGAGCGTTTTGCCTACTTAAAGGAGCAATGAAAATATTTCTGCCTACCTCTGAGGCGGCTCACCTAGAACCCAAGCAGGAAGAAATTACCTCCCCTTGGCCTCCGCAGACAGTGGCCTACCGTTGAGCAGCGACTCGCCGAAGAGGAGGTAGTAGAGGTCCTGGTTGACGCCCACCTCCTGGAAGATGGCGAGCACGGCGACGGGGTCCACGGCGGAGATGAGCGACGAGAAGACCATGGTGTCGGGCAGCGTGACGAACACGGAGCTCCCCGAGTCCACGGGCAGGCGGCCGATGGCGCCGGCCTCGGACAGCGCGTACAGCAGCAGTCCTGCGAGGCCAGGATGACGTCAAATGTTGTGATCTTGACATCGAAATGGCTCAAAATGGACCAAAATGGATACGCTCGTTTTGAGATCGTATCACGGTAATTTGGCCTTTTTCGTTTTTCCTGGTTGGGAGGGGGTTCGGCGTCTGAGTACTTCTCGATGAAATGACGGACTCGTGCTTACCGATGGTGAACGTGTTGAACAGGGTGCCCTGGAACACGACAAACAAATACGAACAAATATCAATTTGGCGGCCGCGGCGTTACTTGGTCCGCCACCCTCGCGCTGACGGGGATGGGACGGGACGAGGGTCTGACGGACGGTAACGCGTGTAAAGGCGCCGTGCAGGGCTTACCGCAAGGCGCGCAAGGCGGACCGTCCTGTCTATCCCCCGCTCCGTCCCTTGCTCTATCCCCTGCCCCATCCCTCACTCTATCCTCGGTAATTACGGTCTATGATCCTGTAAGTTCCCCTCTGGCTCCGCCCCTCGTCCGACACCTCGGCCATCACATGTCCGCCCCACACGCCGAGGCGCGGCCGAGGTCAACCCCACGGAGTAGGTACCCTCCGCTCACAGTGGGCCAGAAGGCCGGCGCTGGCGGCTGGAGCTCTAGACGCGTTTTTAGCTCCAGAGTCGCTAAACAGGACTCGAACCGAGCATGTGACCCCAACAATGGGTTTGTCGTTCGGAGAGAAATCCATTGATGGGGTCACACGTTCGGTTCGAGTCCCATTTAGCGACTCTGGAGCTCAAAACGCGTCTAGAATTTTGGCCATCTCCACCGGTCTTCTGGCCCACTGTGCCCCTCCGTACGGTCCACCCAGCTGGCTCGGCACGCTTTTATTCCCCGGCCAGTGACTTTGGCCTCCGAGACGGAGTGAAGGTTGACGGCGAAGGGTCTTAAACAGTGACTTTGGCCTCCAAGACGAATCACTCACCACGACGGCGTACAGGAGGACGGTGTACAGGTTGACGGCGAAGGCCCGGTTGTACAGCGAGTAGGCCGACTCGAGGATCACCCTGGACGGCAAGAGCAAGGAGGGCGCATTAACAGTGCAGTGTGGTTTCAAACTTTAACTCATTCGCCGTCCCCGAGGGCCGCACGCTGCGACGCGTCCGTCCTGGCGGATTGGAAGCCAAGAGGTTCGTGGCAGTGTACTCGCGAGTGACCCCGTGGCCCGGCGCGGCCCAGGCAGTGCACTGCCAGTGCAGCGACACTGCTAGATGCAGGCCAGGCCGCGCCGCCACGCCGGCCGAGGGCCGAGAGGTCTTTGGCCGGCAACTGACGTACAGTGGGCCAGAAGACCGGCGCAGGCGGCCAAAACTCTAGACGCGTTTTGAGCTCCGAAATCACGAAACAGGACTCGAACAGAGCGTGTAACCCCATCAACGGATTCCGCGTTCGGAGAGCAATCCTTTGGTGGGGTCACACGTTCGGTTCGAGTCCCATTTAGCGACTCTGGAGCTCGAAACGCGTCCGCGGTTTTGGCCGCCTCCACCGGTCTTCTGGCCCACTGTGTGTCGCCTGGAGACGTACGGCGGCAGCAAGATGAGGAAGAAGAGCCTCGGGGTGAAGGTTGGCAGGTGGAACTCATCGGGCACCACCTTGTCCTCCTTGTTCTCCGGCTCGGGGACGCCGCACAAGCTGCAACGCGCATTTTCAAATTCATTCATTTTTAATTTTTTTAAAATCTTTTTTGTTGTCTTTTGTATTTTTTTGTGAACTTACTACAGCACACCTCCCACCGCCACGCCGATGATGATCATCAAGCTGCGCGCCGATGGAAACAAAAGAGAAAGCGAAATTAGGTCGAGTTGCACTAAAATGAATGCAACAATTGAATGGCTGCCGCGCTGGCGCGTTTAAAAATGGAGCGCACGTACCAGGATTCCGGCAGCCGGGAGGACAGCCAGTGGGCGTGGTGGAACGCTGCAGTCAAGAAATAATTAATGCCCCGCCGGGTGACGTTTGCAAGAGTGACTGCTGCCCGCCCGTTCCCTCTAGTTCGCTCGCTCTGTCCCTGTCTCTCTTTACTACTCGTACTCTTTCTGGTGGGGTCACACGCTAGGTTTGAGTCCTGTTTAGCGACCCTGGAGCTCAAAACGCGTTTAGAGTTTTGGCCGCCTCCACTGGTCTTCTGGCCCACTGTGGTCCGGGTCCGTTCGGGAAGGAGGAGCGTGCGTGATTTATTTAATAAAGAGAGGGAATGAGGGAATGCTAGTCTGGAGGAAGCGGTGGGCGGCCCGGCTGGACCGCTATCCTTACAGTGAAGGCCAGGCTGCCGCCACCGAAAGAGGAAGAGCCGAAGATCCCGGCGCACAGTGGGCCAGAAGACCGGTGGAGGCGGGCAAAGTCCCGGACGGCCCACAGTGCACCGGGACCGAGGCCGGGACTCGGACCCACGCCGCACGTCTTACCGACTTTCGCCAGGCCGCAGATGACGATGAACGCCGTGAAGGTGAAGAAGAGCCCCACCTCGGTCCACCGCCAGTTGGCCACGCGGATGCCGTGCGGCTCCTCCGTCTCGATGTGGATGGTGCCGGGGGCGGGGGCGGCCACGGGGAACGGCGGCAGTCCCGGTGGCGGCGGCGGGTAGTCGCCGAACTGCGGCTGTGGGTACCTGCGGACGCGGCGGGGGCGGGTCAGTGCGGGCGAGTCGACCTCCCGGGCGGCGAGGGCCCCTGGACGGTAGGCAATGATAGACACCCGCGCGCTGCGGGACTAGCATTGCCAGGCGCTCGACTCGTGGCCCCGTTTCCTCCGGTTCCCTTCCGCCGTCTCAGAGCTTTCGTGTGGGCCTTCGAACAAAGCGTCCGCGCCCGGCCGCCGGAGCGGACTTGAGTAATTCAGCAATGCAGCCCCGGTTTAGCGGCTTGCTGGCTTGCCTGGGGTCGTAGGTGGGCGGCTGGTAGTTGTTCTGGCCGGAGGGCCACTGCTCCGACATCGGCCCCTGCCAGTTCTCGCCGCGCGGCCCCCAGGCGTCGTGGCCGGGCGGCGTGGCCGAGGCCCAGGACGGGCCGTCCCGCCCGGACTGCGCCTCCAGCGGGCCGCCGACGGCACGGTGCACCAGCAGCAGCAGCGGCAGCAGCAGCAGGGAGCGCCACCGCCTGCAAAGGACCACAACACTGTCAAGACGCCGGCCCGCCGCCGCGCGAGCGCCGCCGCGGGCAGCCAGAAGACCTGTGGAGGCGGTCATAATCCCGGACGCGTTTTGAGCTCCAGAGTTGCTAAGCAGGACTCGAATCGAACGCGTGACCCCACCAATGGATTGCTCTCCCCACGAGGAATCCATTGGTGGGGTCACACGCTCGGTTCGAGTCCTGCTAAGCGACTCTGGAGCTCAAAACGCGTCTAGAGTTTTTTGGCCGCCGGCGCCGGTCTTCTGGGCCAGTGTGCTCCGCCACCGAAAGTGCATCGCGGTGCTAACGAGGCCTGCATTCGGCGGGGCACGGGCGGGGCCAGGCCAGGCCGGGCCAGGGGGGCACGGGCACTGACTCACGGCCAAGGCTCCGCTAAACACCCGCTTCCGGGCTGGGCCGCCCGACCCCCGGCCGCCGCCATGGCGTTCGCTGCGTTCGCACTGGGCTGCGAACCGGAAGACGGAAAACCGGTTGCGGGCCAATGCGAGTCGCGGACTCGAACTTCGGTCCCTGTGGCAACCGGTTACGTGCCCAGCAAAGAAAGCGGGGAGGAATAAAGCATGTTGTCGATATCGTTCCGAAAAGGGTGTCGTTGGCGGTCGCTGGACGCAGGTGTTGTGAGTTTAGCACGTGCCAGCCGGCACACAGTGATCCAGTAGACCGATGGAGGCGGTCGAAATCCCAGACGCGTTTTGAGCTCCAGAGTCGCTAAACAGGACTCAAAACGAGCGTGTGACCCCACCAATGGTTTCCTCGTGTGGAGAGCAATCCATTGGTGAGGTCACACGAGTGGTTCGAGTCCCTTCTAGCGACTCTGGAGCTCCCGTCGCCGCTGGTCTTCGGGCCCACTGTGCGGCGGGGTGAACAAATGACAAACCAAAAACAAATAGAAAGAAACAAGCAAACAAACAGATAGAACGGGGAAGGGAATAAGTTAAAATTGCGTGGGGTGGCTCGCGACCGTTCGCTACGCGAACAGCGATAAAAGAGGATCAAGAAAATGGCCGTTTAGGAATAAGCGCGAGCCAGTCGCGCCATTCGCGCGTGACGAACTGCTTTGTGAGCGCAGCAGCCTCGCACTGCCATGCTCCATGGATGCACCGCGGATGCACCGTGGATGCTCCATGGATGCTCCATGGATGCTTCATGGATGCGCCGCGCCTCTGCAATCAATGGGAGGACAGTGCGCGACAAGGGGGGGCAGTGTCCGAGTGCAGCGGAGTGCAACGGAATGCTGCGCAGTGCGCCCTGCCCTCCTGTACCGCTTTCACCGAAAAAAAAACCAACAACAACAACAACAACAGGAGGCAAACATCGACCGGCGCACTGCCTTTTGTTTAGGGTAATTTCGGCCGCGTTGTTGGTTAAGACAGGGGCGCGGTGCGAGGAGGCAGGTTGGGTTGCTAGGGTGGAGGCCAGCACAGCCAGCACGGCCGCCAGCAGCTGCTTAGTGGCGGACTCGGTGGCGCATCCATCTCCATACCAAGCCGCCTAATTAGCCAGAGATGAATGGTGGAGCCGGACAGGCAGGCAGACAGACAGACAGACAGACAGACAGACAGACAGACAGACAGACAGACAGACAGACAGACAATTCAATTCAATTCAATTTCAGTTTATTGATTCCTTGGTCCATGGCAGTACAGGTCAAAAAGAAAAATTGAACATTTACAATGTGAAAGGGAAAACAAGGTACAAACAAAATACACTTAACATATACTTTCACATTTTGCCAAAAAAACTAGAAACTGTCCCTAAGCACTGAGGCTTGTCAGGGACCGATGGTCTATCCTTAATCAAGTAACAGATTATAAATCAGTGGACGCAAAACATTTTTTTTTTTCTCTTTTTTTTCTTTTAAGAAAAAAAACTCTTAAACTCTTAACTCTTAAACTCTGTAATTCTTAACCCATTAAACTCTTAACTCTTAGACTCTTAACTCTTTAACTCTTAAACTCTAAACTTAGAAAGTATTTTTTTAGTTCTCTTTTCATAGCACTTTGGCTAGTAAGGTTTCTTAAAGTTACCGGAATACAGAAAGACAGACAGACAGACGGGACATACAGGGGTTTCGGTGGGTTCCTGGACATGACGCCCCAAGTTCCTTTCAGTTTCGTACCCCTTTAACGAGCCCCACGCCTTCCCCACCACTGTACCTCTGATTCACACCGCGGACCCTCCACTTCCACTGCACTGCCCCGCCGCCGCGGTGTATTGACTCCACACGTAGTTCTTGCCGGCCACGTAGCCGTAGTCAGCAGAGTAATGAGTGCCCCCCTCCCCTCTCAAAAAAGCAAAAGAAAGAAAGAAAACAGTGAAAAGCAAGAAAAGGGTGTCCGTCTTCGCGCACTTCGCTCGTTACTCGAACGCTGTACTAATTGCGACCCCGGTGTAAGTGTGGACGGCTGACCCCGACCTTCCCCCTCCCCTCCGCCCCTCCCCGCTCTTCCCGACTCGCCCTCTAAGAAAGCCCCACCCCACTCCTCTCCCTCGCTCCACGCCCCCGTGCGCCCGAAACTAATTGCTGGTACTTGCAGGAGAGTAAGGCGACTCCTCCGTGCACGCGTGGCACGACGACGACGCGACGCGGCACGCCTGGGGCACGCCTGGGGCACGCCTGGGGCACGCCTGGGGCACGCCTGGGGCACGCCTGGGGCACGCCTGGGGCACGCCTGGGGCACGCCTGGGGCACGCCTGGGGCACGCCTGGGGCACGTGGGCGCCTGGGGCACGCCTGGGGCACGCCTGGGGCACGCCTGGGGCACGCCTGGGGCACGCCTGGGGCACGCCTGGGGCACGCCTGGGGCACGCCTGGGGCACGCCTGGGGCACGCCTGGGGCACGCCTGGGGCACGCCTGGGGCACGCCTTGGGCATGCCGGTGCAACGACGACAAATTGAGGACGTGAGGCGTCCTGTAAGGCGTCCCTGCAGACGCCCTTCACCCTTTTCCCGTCGTCTCTCCCCCCCTCCCCCCCCCCCGGACAGACAGACAGACAGACAGACAGACAGACAGACAGACAGACAGACAGACAGACAGACAGACAGACAGACAGACAGACAGACAGACAGACAGACGCGTGCGCGCGCACTACTGGACTTCCCTCTCCGAGAGCCAACCACCGGCATGGACCGCGCGGTCTGCAGCACTGTTCACTGTTACGTAAGCGCCCACCGGCTCGCCGACACCCCAGCCAAACTTGCGAGGCGGAGCCCTGAGGTTCAAGCACAAGGCCCTTTTTTTCGGGCGGGTTGAGGTTGGTCGGTTGCCTACCTGCAGCATTGGTCAGGACGGCGCAGCAGCATGGCGGCAGTATCCTCTACTCCTCCTGGTCACTGTCATCACCGTCACGCGGTCGCCACCCTCGCACACTCTCGCGCTTACTCACTCACTATCATTCCGCCACTCATCTAACTCACTCGCACACACGCACTCGTTCGTTCACTCACTCACTCACGCGCGCCCACGCACGAACAGCCGGCCGCGCATGGCCACGGAGCGTCGCGGTGTGGCGGTCCGCGTCTCGGAGCGTCGCGCCTAGTCGCGCCGCGGGCAGCCGGGAGCTCGGGCTGTTGTTGATTGAGGCCCTCGGCGTGGACGGTCGCCTATCCTCTCGGCCTTTGGTGGCGGCAGCGGTCGCCGCGCGGGGCGGGGCGGGGCGGGGCGGGCGCGACACCACACATGCCGCTGCCCGCCGTGCCCGCAACCGCGTGCAACATGGATGCAACTACGGCGGGGGCACAGTGTGACAAGTTGCGTACCGGGTCGCCGCGTCGCCGTCCCGCCTGGTAGACCACTAGGTAGGCAAGGCAAACTCTCCCAACTCTGCAAACTCTGTTGGTTTCGCTCAAGCCTCTAGTGGTGGTCATTTTTCTGTCGGCCAGTAACCGGGATGGTCATGTCCGGTGCGCACCTTGATGTCATGAGCAGTGGCTTGAAGCCGAAACTCTGAGGGCTGCGGGCAGTCCTCTCGCAGTTGCATAGTGCAGTGACGAAAAGGCGCGGCATTCAAACCGTGCCGCCACAACTTCCAAATAGTTTCCACGAAAAAGTGAGAAGAACCTTCGTTTTCGGCCTTGATTGGAAATTGTCTCGCCTGGTCGGAGAAAGTCCAGTGCTGCCGAACCGCGCGACCGTGCCGACGAAGACGGACAGCCGTCCGATTCCCGAGGTTCGTTTCGTCGCTCTGTCTCTCTCGCACTCATGGGGCGTCCCGTGGGGTTGCCCATAGGGTTGCAAGAGAGCGAGAGAGACAGCGACCAAAACGATCCTTCGAAATTGCCGTTGCCGTCCAGCGGATGGCTGGAGCGGGGCGCTGCGGCCACTCCAGTCCATGCCGGGCTGGCGCGGGCAGCGCGGGCCAGGGCGGGCCAGCAGCCTCATTCCGAGAGTCGTTTTGTCGCCGTCTCTCTCGCACCCACACGGAACGCCCCTTGAGGGCGAGAGAGACAGAGCGACAAAAACGACTCTCGGAATCAGTCCGCAGGGCAGCTCAGGGCGGAAGGCTGAATTGTGTGTGTGTGATTGGACAATAGGCGACGGTGTCAGCTCGGGCCGCCCCTCCCCCTCCCGAGGACCTCTTAACTGAGCCGCGATCCATGGAGGAGGCGTCGGCATCTTAGTTTCATCCACTGTTCGGAGTCACTCGGGCTATTTCGAGCCTTTTATATTGGGCTTTGTGACTTGAATGATGAAGTTCCATTTGGTTTACAAAAAACCGCAACTCAATTTTAAATTTTTATTTATGAAAACAATACAACAAGGAACAGAAATGCAACTTTGAAATGTATGGTTTTAACACTTACAAGTGAATGATCGCAACAATGGCACATGAATTATAATTAAGTGATTGCCTTCATGTGCTACCTTTTGAGTGCATAATTTGATGCACTTCACAGGTTTGCCTTGCCAAGGCTCTTTACAGCCACCCTAAATACATTAACAGTTTACAAATAGGCATTTTAGCATAAATTTCTAAATGTACAAATTTTTATGCATAACTGTTGCTGCTTGCATGACAAAAATGTGGAAAATCTTGTTGCCTCATACAAGAATGGTTAATTTCCTGAGGCAGATGCAGACAGTCTTTATATGTAAATTGATTAAACAGCAGAAAGTTGCAAGATGTGAACTGAGCTATTAACAGATGAATTATGAAGGAATTATTTCAAAGAGCGAGTATCATAGCGCCACAATAGGATGCTAGAACCTCGCCACAACTGGTCCTCTGCAGACAGGTTTCGCCAACAATCAATCCATGAAGAGTAGACCCTCATATGGGGAGGGCCCCCTGCTGCCAACCTACAAAAGAAGATGAGATAGAACCCTTCGATAGCATCTAAATGACACCAGTATTATTATGCTCGATCGACTTACCCTGATCCAGAGACACACATGACATTTGACACAACTAGCAGTGGGTAGGTACAGGTAGATGCAACAAACTGTGAGAGAAAAATCATAACATCATTAAATTTGAGAATTCCAAAACATTGTATGAGTTATTATTATTAAAATATATTGATTAAAAAGACAAGACTTACGCCCATTAATGTGGAAAATATATCTCGATGCTCCCTCTCACGAGACACATAAGTAATAAGAGCATAAGTGAGGGAATGCCAAATAGCCAGCTGACACACCTCAGCCAACAACCTTGGGACAAGTCCACTAAAGAAGCCCATGATACCACTTTCACGATGCAGTTCTCGCAAAGAGCCAAATACTCCACTGTAACATGTCATAAATTTATTATTGTTATTATTATTAATATTATTATTACTAAATGAATGAACCATCATGACCCAGAATGAAATTATAATATACTCACGAGTATTTTGTTTCCTGGCCAATGAACTGTGCCATGACTCTCACGGCACAAACATGGAATGGGTGGCTAACAATTACAGCTAATGATCTACCTGTAGCAGCTTTCATAAACTCGTCAAAGTACCATTGCCTCCTACAAACAGAATTACCAAGTAATTGACAGGGAACATCCTGGACAGTATCTAATTCAAAACCTCAAGAACAAACCTTTCTTCCTCACTAACTTCCTTCCCTTCATCAATTTCAGTTTCAATATCAGATGGTGGGAGTGAATCAGTAGCTACATAATATGCAACTTGACTGACAACATGTTCAACAATGCGAACTTTGACCCCAGCATAAATGCAGGATCGTCCATGTTTTGCTTTCATGTAGCCAACTGCAATTCAAATAAAAAATTTAACGCATTGTTGACACACAGAAAGAAAAAACCATTAGTTTAAATCATGAAATATTACCATACTGAAAAATGTTCGGTAACATCATCTTTTGCTGACCGGTCCAAGTTTTACCTGGCCACGGAGCGATGGGTTCATACCCAATCTAGAAAAACCAAGAATGAAATGATTAGATAAATTATTAACGCATGGCATCTTAGTAGACATTTCATAGGGGCTTTTACTGTGACCTAAGCTACATGAAAAAAGTTTTCAATAAAATAATTTTATTTTATTTTAAATCCTAAAGTTTGCTGGATTTAAAGAAATAGTACAGAAAACAGCTCCATCAACATAGATGAACATACCTGCATAAGAGTTCTGCCATACTCAAATGGATAAAATACACATTGAGCAAAAGATCTCATGCCAAGCTTCCCAAGAAAGCCAACAGTAGTTGCTGGAGTATCAGGATCCATGTTTGTTGTTGAACAGAGAAATCCTGACAGAACAAGAGTCAAAAATCACTCAGCAGCTAAGAGAGCAGTTCAATCTTTTCATCGGATGTTCAGAGATAATGGGAGGTTAGGTTAAAGAGACCCTGAGTATGAAAAAGTTAGATTTCCGGCATATAATGAATCCGAATGAAAATGAAACATGCTGACTAAAAGAACAACACGGACTTCAGAAATGGAAATTTAAATCTAATTCAATTTCTGAAAAGCTGGAAACATTTACTTCAATTTTTAATGTGTAAAATGGGAAGAAAAGAGTGGCAAATGTCATCGCTCTATTTGAAAACTTTTTCATAGTGTCGTCTGCTTTCAGTCTCGCACAACGCACAACACACAGTGAAAACAACAAACTCTAATTTAAATCCTGGTTCGAAAAAGTTCAGAAATAGAATTTCATAAAAGCACTGTCGCACCATCAGAAATTTATGGCTGTAACTTTGCTGTACTTTTCTTCTTTTAATTTTTGACACCCCGAAAACAGATCCATTTTGTTTTGGTGGCAACCTAGTGTCGGCTGTTGTGTGTGTATAATATGGCGTAACCTCAATGGTTTCGATCAATTCACTCACTGCGTCGTTTCTTCACCAGTATTTGAACGCCATGGCTTGTCAAAACCAGTAAAATAGTGCCTTCACTAAATCAGAGTGTCTTATTAGTGTCAGTTAGACTCCGCAAGTATGTTTCGAGTCAGTTCTTGTCGACCTGTGCGTCAAGCACTTCGCCCCGACTTTCGTCTTTGCCACCGAGACTTTCATCAACTAACAACAAAACCGTTTATTGTCAATCATTCTCAAGTTTGTCGGGATACCCTGCTGCCTAGAAGTAACAAGGTTAATCACATTTCAAGTGTTTCTGCATTCTTATGTATGCTGATTTTCAGTTATGCAACATCAACCCCTTTTACATCTGTTTCAGGTCAGGCACATAATATTGCGAGAATATCGAGCTGTGTGCTCCTTGCTATTGCGATCAGGATTTTCAAGAGCTGACTTGTCTCTTGCAAAAGCACTGTCGGCAAACTTGAGCCGTGGCTTCCACACAACCTCCTCAAATGGCGAAAGAAAACAAAATGAAAAAGATGACAAAAAAGATGACAAGAAAGAGGAAACGCCAGAGTCTACTAAATTTCTTCAAGTTGTGGCTAAGACTTTGACGTACTTTGTTGTTTTCCTCTTTATTACTTCCTTGTTTGCCCCCAATACTGGCCGAGGTCCATCACAGGTGAGCTTAGTTACATCATCAGTTCATGTTGTCATCATGAGTACTGTGCGTAGCTACTTTGGCATATTTCACGTTTTCTTCTAATGTTTATAGGTTTCTTGGCAAGAATTTGTTCATCAGATGTTAGCCAAAGGTGAAGTGCAACAAATTATTATAATGCCAGATGTTGGAATAGCACATGTCATTTTGCATGAAAATGCAATTCTGAATGGGAAACCTGTAAGTCTTCTTGCTTATTTTCATTTCTGAATAAATAGAACTTTTTGGGAACTAACCCATTTTATTTTTCTACAGGCTCGTAACCGAATATTTAAAATGCAAATACCAGATACTGGCTCTTTTGAAGAGAAACTTCGGGAAACTGAGAAGCAACTGGGTATTAGTCCAGGAAATGGTGTGCCAGTAGTGTTTGAAAGGTTGACGGATAGTGTTTGGCCAACATTGGCTGTAACCCTCCTCATTGGCTTTATAATTCTAAACCTCTCAGCAGCAATGAAATCGAAAAATTTCCTTTCTAAAATGCAAATGCCTTGGGTATGTTTATGGTTTTTTTATTTAAAATATTTATTTGAAACTTTGCTCAGCATATATTTTGTAGTAATTTGCCATGTGTACATTTGTGTTCTAGTCTAACTTCACTAAAGCCAAATTCACCCTAGTAGATCCTAGACTGAAAGCTGTTGGAAAAGGAGTGAAGTTTGATGATATTGCTGGTTTGAAAGAAGCAAAGACAGAAGTTATGGAGTTCGTTGACTACCTCAAAAGGCCAGAACTTTACAAACGCTTAGGTGCCAAGGTATTAGAAAAATCATTTTTTAAAAAAATTCTCATTTTTGTCATTATATTTTAAGTCAACAGTTTATGTAATTTTATTTAAACCCCTTTTTTTTCTTTTAGGTACCTAAAGGAAGTTTGCTTTTAGGGCCCCCTGGGTGTGGCAAGACTTTATTAGCAAAAGCTGTTGCAACAGAAGCTAACGTACCTTTTCTCTCCATGAATGGTTCTGAATTTATTGAAGTTGTTGGTGGCCTTGGAGCTTCTAGAGTGAGGTGTGTAAATAATCTAATCTTTTGATGCTTGTCATCGTACTCGCATAACTTAAAATGTATTTTTCTTCTCCAGAGATTTATTCAAAGAAGCTCGCCGTCGGGCCCCCTGTATTGTGTACATAGATGAAATTGATGCTATTGGCGGAAAGAGATCAAATGAAATAGAATCTAATAGTGAAAAAATCCAAACTCTGCTTCAGTTGCTTATAGAAATGGATGGCATGGCTTCTAATGAGGGAGTCATCATGTTAGCATCAACTAATCGGTCTGAAGTACTTGATGAGGTAAATTGGTTACCTACCTCTACACCTTAGCCCTTTCATTTGTCAACCATTTATTAATTTTTCTTGAAACCCACTTCCGAAAAGGCTTTGCTACGCCCTGGCAGATTTGATCGCCACATTTTAATTGGGCAACCAACTCTTATTGAGCGCAAAGAAATATTTGAAGTGTACCTCAACAAGCTCCAACTGGATAATCCAGCTACACACTATTCAGGCAGACTAGCTCAACTCACACCAACCTACAGCGGTAAGTAAAGAACCACTTCTGGCACTATTCTACATTATATTTTATCTTATCATAAATTAAATGTATTTTACAGGTGCTGACATTGCCAATATATGCAATGAGGCGGCTTTGCATGCAGCTGGACTTGATCAAAAGCAAATCACTGCTGCTGATTTGGAATATGCTGTTAGTCGAGTAAAGTATGGCAGAGAGAAAAAGGACCGCACCATTCGGGTGGATGAGAGAAAACAAATCGCGTATTACCAGGCTGGCCGCACCATTGTTGGGTGGATGCTGAGACACACTGATGCTTTAATGAAGGTTTCTATCATTCAATACACCTCTGGTGTAGGCAGCATGCAACATTTCCGGCCTGCAAGCTTTCTTACTTTCAAAGAAGAGGTTTGTTCTCAGTTCAGCTCTGCTTCTACACTTATTATGTTGTTTTCATCACAGGAAATTAAATATGAACCTTGTTTTCATCTTTCATAGCTCTATGACCGTATGACCATGTACCTAGGCGGTAAAGCAGCTGAGTTGCTAATGTTCCATCAGAATTCAACTCAAGCTGAATCAGACCTCAAAAAAGTAACAAATGTAGCTTATAACATGATTACAAGTTATGGAATGAATGATGCTGTTGGAGAGGTATCATTTCCTCCAACTGATGATGGCAGCAAGCGATTTTACAGCCGAAAGCTCCAAGGCGTAATTGACTTTGAAGCTCGGAAACTTATTGCTGAGTGTTTCATTTCTGCAGAAACCATCATCAAAGAGCATTCCGACAAATTAACAAAGGTACAAAGTAATTCATTAATTTTCCGCCCTTGTATGTTTATATTTTATTAATTTAGTTTTATTTTTACAGGTGGCTGAAGAGCTTCTGAAAAAGGAAACCCTGACATATGAAGAGATATGCCAGCTTATAGGACCACCACCCCATGGTCACAAAACTTTAGTTGACATTGTTGAATTCGGACCTGAAGCAAATGCATCAACTGGCGAGGCCCAAACAGCTCCACATAGAGATGAAAAAGAGTCAAATGAAGAAGAGTCCTCACAAAAATGATCAGAATCAGATTATTTATTTCATTCAATAATAATAATTGATTTGTTAATTTGATTGTCTTGTCTTTTCACAGAATTATTATACCTTTGAATACACTGATCCTAGTTAAGGTGTTGTGGCACATCTTGTACATGGGTGCAGTCATCCTCAAATTTCTTCATTCCAAAAGGCCTGTAGTCTCCCATACCCTGAGAAGTTTTGGGCTCTAAACATGGATCACAGCAGGCCACATCCAAACACTCTTTAGTCTGAGCTTTGATGTCTAATTTTGTTTTATCTTCTATTTCTTCTCTAATATATCCTTGCTGGACCATGTAGTTCCGCACATTATTAATGGTGCTATCTGGGAACTTGTCAGGATTTGCTTGCATGTATCGGTATACAGCCAAGTCTGCACCAGTTATCAAAAATCTATGCTCAAAGACTGATATCATAGCTCCTAAAATTTTGAGGAAATACACACACAATAAATATTCAGTTTTGCCGGGGCCATTTTTCTAAGAGGATGCAAAGTTTAACTTGCCTATGTAGAAGTCAGCTGGCGTGTAGAACTCTGGATCATCTCTGCTTGTATTTGGCTTAGGAATGTGCGTTGGGCGCAAAAATCGGGTGAATGTGTAGCCAGAGTTTCTCTGAGGAGGCTCCATAATTTCCAATTCTCCGTTGGATAGATAATAAATGAGCACAAAAGCTCGTTGTTCGTCTTCTGGGTGCACTCTATCCAGAACAGCTGTATATCGAAGTTTCTGAAAAATAGTCAATCACTTAATTCAAGGAAACCTGTCTGTACTCCAAGCATCTGTGGCTGTATAGTTCAGAAAATAACCTTGTTAGCATTGTGAAGCATGCGAATGACATCCTTCTTTGGAGCCTTTGGGATGACTTTGAGAACATTTTGGATGGTGTCTTCTATCGATCCAATTCCTGTGTGCGGTGGGTGAGGGTACTGTGGTTGTGGAGGTGCAGGATGTTCAACTTGGATTTTGTTCTTCTGTTCAATACTGAGGCACTCTCTGAAGTAATTTCGTGTGAAAGGATCACAATCATAGATGAAAAACCTGAAACAAACTTACAATAGTAACTAATAATTTCACATTTAATTTGACTTGTCTTGCTCTAATGAGCCATACCGCCTGGCGTATAGGAAAACAGTCTCTCCAACCAAGAAATCTTTTGGACTATAAAATTCCTCAACTTCTTCCTCTGTTAGTTCTCGGTACATAGAGGGGTATGTCACTGCAACATAAAATACGGGGTAAGCTTTTCATCTAGTATATATTATTTCTAAGGACAAACTACTCCACTTACAAGGAATCTGCTTCCAATTTTTGGGAACCTTGGTCTTGTGCAACAGTAATGGGAAAGGATCTCTACCATCATTTTTCTTGTGCACTTCACAGACCTCAACACAGTCATCTGCTAGGTAATAGTGAATCACAAACTCTCGTTTTCCTCCAAGTTCCGAGTCATCCTCCCAAATAGCATAGAATCTGTAAATGGAAATATGTATTAAAAAAGAATATTGTAAGTGGAAAGTAATAATTTAATTACCTCAAAATTTTTCCATCATATTCAAGAAAGCGACGAAGCTTATCATCTACAAAAGGAGTTTTCATAGTTGTAATGGGCAGCTTTTCCAGTCTCTTCTGTGTGTATGGATCTTGAGGCATTTCTTCAGGGGGGCCCATTTCTATGCCTTGACTTTGCATAAATTCCTACAAAGTAGTTGTTGTTTTTCTTAATGTGCCTTGAGTTTTTTTTTAAATTATTAGAAAAGTGGTTCTTACTTACTCTTGTATAAATATCAGTATCCACAATATGATAAACAATAGAATAGAATGAGACATCAATCCCCACATTGAAGTCTTTCCAATGATAGAAGCTGCCTCCAATTTCTTTAGGTATTTTGCCACGTCTTACTATCTTGCCTTGGGCAAAACCTGCATTCTATAAAGAGATAGAAACATGTGAAGATAATGACATTGGCACTTCAGAGAAATGTTTCCTCCTACACAAGTGACTTACAGTAACAGTGGGCTCTATGACTGATATTGTGTCGTCCTCAAGAAAGTACACAATATTTACTTTTCTCACTCTGTAATGTTCATCAGGAGATTCATGAATTGATTGCTTGAAATAGGCTCGAAAACAGAGGCTCTTTCCATCATAGTGTGCGTAGTGGGGCTTGAATTGCTTGTAAGGGTAAGTTTGAACCCGCCCATATGTGAGAGATGGGTCATATCTAAAAGAAAAATAGGATATATTTAAGGGTATAATATAATGTTGAAACCAAAAATCATTTTATTTTAATGAGACTTACCTGACTGATGGAATGGCATTATAATAACTGACCGAATCAACATCCTTAGGATACTTTCCTGCTCCGATGACATTTGAATTAGTCTTTGGGATTCGGTAGCCATTGACTAAATCAAATGCATGGGATATGTGGTGCTTTGTTCTCTGCAAAAGGAATTAGATGAGAGTTGGAGATGAGTGAACTGGCATTCCCCATGGGCCCATGAGGGCCGACCCGACGGCAGTGCCTTCATAACAAGGAACTTACTGTTGGGTCGCGGAAACTGTAGCCCGGTAAGAAAGGGAGACCCTCCATTTTTTCGAACCATGCGTCTCGGCAACTATTTGGCGTTTGTCAGATTTGTCTCGGGGCCCCACATCACACATTACAGCCGGCCAGCTGTTCGTCGCCATGGCAACCCGACTCCTTGCACGAAGAAGGCCTCCCATTGGTCGCCACCGACCGGAAGTACCAGCAAATGCGCGCGCCGAGTCCCAGCAGTCCAAGCAGTCCCAGGCCCATCCCATTCCGTACTTCAAAGGGATAAAATCGTAAAAATCCTGAATGGACATCACCGGTTCTGTTCAAAGCGTTCATAATGTCTAATGTTCAGAATGTTTGCCGTGTATTCCTCTCACATCAGTGTGGTTTTCTGTTTTCAAGTTTACCTTCGCCGCTTGCCTCCAGATGGCGCTTCGGTCCTCTCCCCTCCCCTCCCCTCCCCTTTCCCCTCACTCCCTGCATAACCTTCTTGCGTGCATGTGCTTTGTGACCTGTGTTGCGTCTTGGCGGCTTGCAGCTTTCGTTGAGGCTTGTCAGCGTCCCAGGGGCGCATTGCAAAATGAACGGAATATGCAACTTGTTGTTGCCTGTAATCGGTTCAGAGAACAAGGATGAGGCCCTGCGGAAACTCCTGTCGTCATGCAACGATCAACGAGCTTTCACTAAGGTATTTCGGCCTTGTCATTTTTGTGTCATTTTCTCAGAATTTTCTGATTTATATTCTTATTTTCACTTGAACACTCGCTCTTTTATCCCGTTTCAGTGTGTGTCGGGTATTTCTGCCTTTGTTGGTGTGATTAACGGCAAGTTGAATGAGCCGGCCTCCAGGTAAGCTATTCATTCACAGTTGCACTTGCCACGGGCGTCCTGGACCGACATCAAAGACGGATATTTAATTTCAGACACGATGGCCTTCTCTTGCTCCAAACCTTCTTGCCTCAGTGCTCGGTGGAGGTCCTTGCATTGCATGGTCCTTCATGGATTACGGCCTGTCTGAAAGGAGCAGCTTCCCGAGGGACTGCTCAACTTTCGTTCACTGTATTAGGTATTTTATCAATGGATGTTTCTTTTCTATTGTCTGTCAGTAATGTGATTGGAGCTGTCACTCATTTTTGTTCCCTATTCCAGCAAAATTGTTGGAGCTGTCTGAAACTGTCCCGGAGCTAAACAGGCATGTGTCTTCCGTAGCGGTTTCAAATTTTGCCGAGTTGCTCCATCAAGGAATTTGGCCTGCGGTAATTATGCTTCTAATTGGGTGATAATTATGCCTTTTATTGGGGGATAACAATGCTATTATTGAAATATGGGCTCATAATGATCTTTCTTTAGGCCTATGTAAATGCTTTGGAGTGCCTGGAGCAATGTATGAAGATATGTAATGGCCCCTGTGGTCCCCACAAAGTAAGTTGCACAGTGAAGCTGACTAGTTTTTGTGTTAATTTATTGTTGTTAATTTATTTCTCATTGTGCATATTCTTCTTACAGAAAGTGATTGATAGCTTCTTGTGCTCGTTGCTGGACTACTCTGGTCCCAATCATCTGCAGGTGTTTTGGCATGCTGCCCGCTGCATGTCACTGTTGCCGCAGACTGGCGGTGGTGGTGTTGGCGGCGCTCAATACAAATTGGCTTGGGTTGCCAAGCAGAAACAAGTTTGTCGCACTATTCACCTCATTCTGGATGAGTTGTATTCAGATACAAATGAGCTGCAGGTACACAGATATATTCTTCAATGTTTATCAATGTTTACCAAACAGACTTGTTATATTATTATTTTATTTTAGGTTTCCATGATGGGTTCTATGCTTGAAAGTGTTGAGCCTTTGCCATTGCCTGAAATTGATGATTCAGACCCCATCCTTCGAACTCAAAAATTGGTGACTCGCCTTTTGGCTGTTTCAACCTGTCTTCAGGCTTTGTTAGTGTATGTATCTGTCTTGACACTGTCCAGAAACTGCAATAGAACATGGTTGTTTATCAGGTAACTCCGTCATGACTCCATGTTTGTTTCAGTATGGTCTATCCAGTCCCCAAAAATGTGTCAATATCCTCCATTATAAATTTGATATGCCGTGGTCTTGCTGTGAATGGGTCCTCTATTGGAGTAAGCAACACCACTGATACTTTAGCACTTACGGCTGAACTTCCAAGAGTTCATCAATCTCTGTTGAAGCTACTAGAAGCATTGATCATTGTGTAAGTACATTGCATTCTTCTATTTACGCAACCTTGTGAAGTTTCCCTGACCTGATCTTCCCTTTGGAGCTCCATCACCTTTGTTCCATCAAGCTGTTAATCAATGAACTCTTTGTTTTCTAGTGGGTAGGAATATTTAATTTAATACCTTAAATTTTGTTCAACAGGGGCCGCTCAAACCTGACTCCATTTGCTGATACGATTTGTAAACTTTGCATTCAGACTCTGAAGTGGACCAGTGTGGAAGACTGGCCATATGGCACAGAAAAGCCTTATAAGTATGATTTTCTTACTTTCTTTCTTGTGTGTTTTGGTTTTTAGGTTCTTTTAGGTTCTTTATTTCTTTTTTTCTCTCATGGTATTAGATTTGTAAGAGTCCAGGCATATGAAGTCTTAAAGCTTTGGTGTGGCACCGCCAAGGGAGGAAGTGGTGTAGAAGATGTTTCTCAACAATTAGTTGATGTATCTATGCAAGACATTTTCTCAGAAAAGGATAGTGTTTCACTTTCAGTAAGTTTTTGTCATTTCTATTTGTTAGGGTAGGATATCATTACCAACTAGCCAGTGTTTTAATTCATAATTTTGTCTCCTTAGGCTGGTTTACGCAAGAACCACAACCCACAAAGGCGCTCGAAAGGAAACAAAGCTGCTGCAAGCCTAACTGTTGGAGGCACTGTGGCAAGGAATAGTTTGGTACGGAATGAATTGGCAAACAAAGACGTCTGTGTTGCTGCCTTGCAAGCTGTTACTGCAGCAGTGCTGGCTGGCTCTTCCAGGATTCAGGCAAATGTGCACAAGGTAGGTAGTTGCAGTGTTCAGATTTCCTCTCTGCTCATTTTATGCACCAAAGTCTTGGTTATTTTTGTAATGATTTTTTTAACTGTTGCAGACTTTACAGGAGACTGTTGTCACTGTTCTCCTTAAGGGATCCTCAACGGCTGGAGAGTACCCCATTCCATTTAGCTCACCTTTTGCCCGGTTGGAGTTGTATCGCCTCTTGCTGCAACTGGTTTTGGATGGTCACACAGTCTGGCCTGCACCAACAAACCTTGCTGCGAAGTTGTTTGCGAATGGATTGAATGATTCTGATGCACAGGTAGGTTTCATTTCTAGCCGTAATGTAACTCATCATATTTTTATGTTTGTAACTGTGTTATTCTTTCCGTTCTAGATTTCAATTTTCTGTGGAATGGCACAGGGTGTCATAGAAAAAATTATTCATCCCGCCTACCCATCCTTGTACGTAACACCCAGTCATAAGGAAGTGGATGCCAGTATAGAAACTTCTGCGCAAGACACATTTACTGCTCCTGCTTTGGCAGTCTCTAGACTTACCATTCAAGACCGAGCAAGAAACAATTCTGAAGATTCAGGCAATGACCTTACTGATGCTGTGTCACTGGTTCCCAAAAAGACAGAGAAAAGAACCTCTACTGGATCAAGCGTCCGACAAACTATTCAACTAGAAAACTCGTCAGCCGAGTCCACTCCCTTGGTAATTAAGCCTGTTAATCCTCGACTGGTAATGGTACAGGCCACTCCTATCTGCTCTATTACTGTTAGTTCTGATGGAGAAGACAACAGCCCATCTAATCTGGAGTCGTCACGTAAATTGACCGGAAAAGTGAAAGCAGATAGTAGTGTGAAGGAGGGGCATAACGTCCAGAAGCCCATTGACTTAACAAACTCTGATATGAGTGATGATGATGATGATATTTCTGAAGTGCCGTGTGAAATAGACTTGGCAGATTCGGAAGATGAAAAGGCAGGTTCGGATGGTGAGAAAAGCAATGTATCTATCTGCAGCCAAACTACGGTGAACACTCCTGTAAATACACAGGCTTTGGAGCGCTCAGGAAAATCAGCATTTGAACTGAAGATTACCAAGCAAAGTCCTGTCTCAAAGGAAAATGAATCCTTGGATGAAAATAGTGTTTGTGCTGTTTTAAATGAAGCTGAAGTCATTGCTGTTTCTAAGGAGACTGAAGTGCCTGATGGGAGTGGTAGCAGTGCTGCTACAAAAGAAGCTGTGGTGGAGAGTTCTACTAGTGCCGTGAATGGAAGTCTTACGAACGGCATTTCTGAGGCTGTCCCTGGCGATGGTTCCGCGGCAGACGCTGTTCCTGAGGCTGACTCCGCAGATGGACCTTCGGGAGGCGCTAAGAGAGCAGTGGAAGTGGAAGAAGTGGGGTCACCGACCAAAAAGGCCAAGTTAAATGGTGGTGATGATGATGAAGATATGGAGTTCCCCTCAGATGAGGACTCAATGCTCCTGTCATTTGTTGATGTTACTAGAGATGAAGAAAATGAGGAAGATTTGTAGCATGATTCACGGTTCATCATTTTATCTGTGTATTCTTGCTTACTTTCAAACCATTTTCCTGGTATTGTGTCTTAAATTATACCAGTGAATAATTTTGTACTCAAGTTAATTTTTCTTTTCCTTCTTGTTAATGTTTCTATTATATATTTTTTCCAGTCATGTTTGTTTTGTCATATGGTCTAATGATAATCCCATAAGAGCGAAATAAACAACTTTGGCTAAAAACCTGTCATATTGACTCAACATGGAACTTTGTGGCACACCTGGTGGAGCCACTGGCCTAAGAAACTACACACACTGTCACAATAAGTCACTAACAGTGATTCACTCTTAAAAAGGGGAAAGGATGATGAGTGTTGACCCACTTTGATGTATTCAAGCTTTGAATATGTTTTGTTGTAAGACCTTCACTGTGGTCCTCTGCAGGGCTTTATGAAGTTAAGGAAGTAACACACCTCAGTTACTGAATTTCCTCTGTCTCCATTTCATTCTGTGTGTGAAATTGGCATCTGTTTTTTTTTCTGCAAATCACGTTTTTAATACTGAATTACAAGTAACACATTACCCTCACACGTGGCACTACATAAGTGTCTAATTAGTGGCTTGCCGGAAACTTTGGCAGCCAGAAGAACCTCATTCTGCACCCTTAGAAACACTTGGTGCTTGAGGTAAACGATTCCAGGTCATTGGATGCTGAACGAGGGCGAGGGAATTACCACCCTTAACCAGATAAAGCCTCGTGTCCTTAAAGTGTACATCTCTCTATGAGTGGCAGAAAGTACGTCGAATCTGATGACAACTACAAAAATAGCCGAGAAAGTTTCCGAAGCAAGCCGGCGCCATTTTCTCTTAAACTAACACTCTGACTTAGAATTAACAAATCACACATTGATGTCCAGAAAGAAGTAACCCCGTCCTCCCTTTTTTTTCCTCTCCAACATAATACGGCTTCTCTCCAAAACGTGCTCCACTGATAGGGTCTCTAGGATCGGCCTGGTCACAATCCTCGGTCGTGGTGGCGCACAGTGTGGTGGCGGTGGGGGTCCTGGCCGTGCTGGCGCACCCCAGGGACTAGACACCCCGGAGATGGGGTCCAGCACGACGTCGAGGTCCTGGCCGTGCTAGCGCACCCCAGGGACTAGACACCTCACACGGAGATGGGGTCCTGCAGGACGGCGGCCACGGGGGGCAGCACGGGCTCGCCCAGGGCGAGCTTGTTGGCGTTGGCGCGCAGCGAGAAGGACTTGCTGCGGCGCGGCCTCGGCGAGGTGAAGATGGACGGCGCCCGGTAGCGCAGCTGCTCGGAGGCCGACATGGGGAAGTTGGCGAGCTGCGGGCAGGCCGGGCAGTCGCCCATCATGAAGGCCGCGAGCTGGCCGGCGTGCGGGGGCGGCTCCGGGGGCGGCACGGGGTTGGCCACGACGCGAGCGGCCTGCGGGGGCGGGTCGCCGGACGAGCTGGACCGGCTCGGCTCCTCTGCTGGAGAAAGAGAGGAAGGCACGCCTGGTTGAATGGCTTGATTGCCCAGATGGCGCGTAGTCACGCGTCGCGGTACGAACAGCAGTTCCGCACAGTGCTTCGTCGCTCCGTCCCTCTCGCACCCCTGGCGGACGCCCCATGAGTGCGAGAGAGACAGCGCTGCGCGAAGCAGGGCGTGCGGGAACTTACCTCGGGAAGTACCGCTCCGCGAGGGCCCCACGGGGGGCGGGCTGTCCTGCACCGACTCCCGCAGGCTGCTGCTGGAGCACACGGAGGAGCCCCGGTGGTCGCGGCCGCGCCGCCCCTTCCGGAAGTCCACCATCATGACGGGGACCACCTCCTCCTCGACGGCCACGTCGTCGCTCGAGATGCTCCCCTGCAAGCGAAGGGCACACTGAAGACGTCGGCCAGCAGACCGATTCCAAGAGTCGTTTTCGTCGCTCCGTCTCCCTCGCACACATACAAGACGCCCCATGAGTGCGAGAGAGACAGAGCGACGGAGGCGACTCTCGGAATCAGTCTGCAGGGACTGGCGGCCTGCAGAGAGAACCAAACGGCGAGGGCTACCCGTCGAGCAGCGACTCCGGTGACGGCCGCCGCGGAGGTGAGCGAGTTGTCCCCGCGCCAGGCCCGGCTCCTGCGGACCAGAAAGCGGTGAGCCCCGAGCACTACATGACCACCGCGACGACGCCAGTGCGGCCGTTACTCTATCTCTCTTGCACTTATGAAACGTCCCGTATAGGTGCGAGAGAGATAGAGCAAGGGCCAGACCCTTACCTGCCGCGCAGCTTGGCGGGGCGGCGCGGCGCGAGGCCGACGCCCAGGATCCTGCAGGCGCCCAGCCTGGCGCACAGCTTGGCCAGCTCACGGCGGAAGCGCGGGTGCGTGACGGCGTACACGTAGGGGTCCAGGCACGACGCCGTCTTGCAGAAGAGCGCCGGCAGCATGGACACGAGCGGCCCGGGCGGCCGGCCCGACACGGCCATGAGCGCCACCACGGCGTACGGCGTCCAGGACGCGAACCACAGCGCCACCACCACGCCCGCCACCACCGCCAGGCGGACCTCGGTGCGCCGCTTGTCGTGCTCCCGGCAGTGCCTGCGGGTGCGAGAAGTGTCACTGCAACAGCGGCGACAACAACAACAACATCAAGTTAGCGGCCGAGACCCGCGACGCCGCGACCCGCGAGTGGCGCCGAAGCCGGCCTCAACGGACGGACCCAGGACGGGGTCTTCGGGACGGGGCCTCCAGGACGGGGCTCCACGACGGGGCCTCCAGAACGGGGCCTCCAGGACGGGGCCTCCAGAACGGGGCTCCAGGACGGGGCTCCAGGACGGGGCTCCAGGACGGGCCTCCAGGACGGGCCTCCGGAACGGGGATGTCAGGACGGGGCCGCCAAGGGGGCGGCGGCAGGCCAGGCGTGGAGCGAAGCGGGTGGGGGTGGTTGCTCGGACGTATATGGATCTAAAGACGTTCTGCCGGGGCGGGGCGGGGCCGCGCAGGGCGGCAGGGCGCGCCATCGGAGACAGCACTATATTACGTGGGGCTGGTCACATTCCTGGGGGGCGTGGGGGTCGCCTTGGGGTAGGCACGTCGGCACGCCCGCTATAGCGCCGTAGCGCCATATTCATGACAAGGGGCGGGGTGGGGCGGAGCGGGACGCGGCGCGCACCGGCTCACCTGCTGGGCCCGGCCTTCCCTCGCTGCGTGGCGCGCTCCACGATGCGGTAGATGCCGAGGTAGCTGAGGGTGATGATGCAGAAGGGCACCACCCACGCCGCGAAGAAGAAGCACCAGATGAAGGTGCGGTTCCTCGGGTCCTGTGGCGAGCAACCGAACGCACCATTAGAACGTACCATTAGCAGCCAACATCGCGATCGTGGAGGTTGTTTCGTTTTCTTTTGTCCAACTTTTTCTCAACGTCAGCACTCGCCGGCTTCCGCTATGCTTTTCGCAAGAGTCTGCTAATGTACTGATCGACGCGCTCTCGGCGAAATAAGCCTCCTGTGTGGGAGAAGATGGGCCTCTTTTGCTGGGAGGTGTCGTGATGGGGTTGGGACTCGGGCGGTGCACGATGGGCCAGAAGACCGGTGGAGGCTGCCAAAATTCTGAACGCGTTTTAAGCTCCAGAGTCGCTAAATGGGACTCGAACCGATCGTGTGACCCCACCAACGGATTGCTCTCCGAACGAGGAATCCATTGGTGGGGTCCCACGTTCGGTTCGAGTCCGGTTTAGCGACTCTGGGAGCTCAAAACGCGTCTCGAGGTTTGGCCGCCTCCACCGGTCTTCTGGCCCACTGTGCGGTGCGAGCAGGGCCGCGTGGCGCGTGGCCGTGGCCGCCTTACCGTGTTGAGGTAGTCGAAGCTGGAGCTGGTGAGCAGCCCCTCGGGCGTGTAGCGGCTCAGCCCCACCAGCGGCCCCGTGGCCAGGGCGCCGCCGTACAGCCAGGTGACGAGCACGGAGAGGCGCGCGCGCAGCCGGGAGATGCGTCGCCCCGGGTCCAGGGGCTGCACGATGACGTGGTAGCGGTCCAGCGCGATGGCGGCGAGGTTGGCGATGCTCACGGCCCCCGTCAGGCCGCCCAGGAAGCCGTACACGTCGTTGCCTGCCGCAGAGAGAGAGAGGAAGTTCAGACAAAGACGGCGATATGCCGAAAGACTGTTCCGAAAAGCTGCCCCGTAAGGCTGCCGCAAAGGCCGTGTCGCGGTGGGCGGCCGCCCCGCCCCGCCCAGCCCAGCCAAGTCTCGGACACGGCGTTCAATTACCGCGCCGTGTTTTATCCGAGAATCGATAAGCTGTTTCAGCAAGGTCTCAGCAGGCTGATTCCGAGGGGCGTTATCGTCGCTCTGTCTCTCTCGCACCTGTATGCGGAACGCCCCACGACGGCGAGAGAGACAGCGACGAAAACGACTCTCGGAATCGGTCCGCAAGTCGCAGGATGTTGCGAGCCGGCCGCAGAAGGGTTGCCTACCCTCCCCGGGGCCGGGGCCGGCCGGGGCACAGTGGGCCAGAAGACCGGTGGAGACGGACAAAACTCTAGAGGCGTTTTGAGCTCCAGAGTCGCTAAATGGGATTCGAACCGAACGTGTGACCCCATCAATGGATTCCTCGTTCGGAGAGCAATCCATTGGTGGGGTCACACATTCGGTTCGAGGCCTGATTAGCGACTCAGGAGCTCAACACGTGTCTAGGGTTTTGTCCGCCTCCACCGGTATTCTGGCCCACTGTGCGGGGCTGGCCGGGGCCCTCCCGCCGGACGCGGCTGTGGGAAAGGGGAAAGGGGAGGCAGGCATTGTTTAGAGATCTAAAGTCTCCGTGAAAGGGCGAAGGGCCCTTTCAGCAGCGCAGCCAGCCGGGCCGGCCTGTCTCTCTGTCTCTCTCCCGCACACTGAGCCACCACACTGCGCGCTGCTGCCAACCCAACCGCCGAGTATCTCTCGTGGTTGCCAAGGGGAGGCTGCATACATTCGGTTACTAAATATCACGTTGGCGGGCCAAAAAAGAAAAGAACAACAAAGAAGAGTAACCACGTCGTTCCGACACTGTTATTAGCAGTCGACATGGCTCGCCTTGGACGGCCGCAGCGAGGACGGCGCTCTCGATCTGCTTGATGCTGATGAGGGTTGGCACGGCGGCACGGTGGCACGGGGCAAGGTGGGAATTGGTTTTCGATTACGCTGAGAGTATCCCGGAAGCAACCAGGACCACGAAAAAGCAGGAGGGCCACGGGGATCTAGCTTCCGGGAAGCGACCTGCTCTGCAAACTCAACAGTGTACTCAGTACACTCTCTTTAGAGTGTACTCATGAGTACACTCTCTTCAGCGTGTACTCACAAGTACACTCCCACGAACGTGTACTCAGCTGCATGAATTGTGCCGACATAAGCACACTCTCGTTAGAGTGTACTCAGGTAAGCACACTTTCGTTAGAGTGTACTCAGCTAAGCACACTTTCGTTAGAGTGTACTCAGCTGAGCACACTCTCACAGGAGTGTGCTTATGAGTACACTCCAAATAGAGTGCACGCAAAAAAATAATTTTTATCAGAGCTAAAAAATTAGCACCCGCACCAATAAGATTAGCTCTATAGGCGCAGCTAATTTTTTAACTGTGTGGCTAAAAAGTGTTAGCTGGGCGATTCTAGCACCGGGTCTAACGTCCGAGCTGGAACTGTAAGGAATCCCTAGCTGTGAACCAATTAAATCTTGCTGATGAACTACTTAAGTTGTCTGCCCCCTAGTTATTCCGAGATGAAAAGATAAAACCATCATTACGAGTAATGTCTACTCCTTGTGGTCTAACGGGACGGTGTCGTCAGTGACTCTTGACGCCTGCTGGAGTGAAGTGAAGTCCAGCAGGGGAACCGACCCTCCTCCTGACAGGCAATTGTAGAAACGATGGCGCCCAGACTAGGTGAAAACGCATGCTACACCGTCACCGCGCGCGAGCGGCGGCGCGACGCGCGCAGCGCACTCTCGCGGCGATCTCCTCCACCGCGACGGCGACTGGACGACGATGACATCAACTGGTCTCGTCAGATCGCATTTAGCTTGTTTACTAGAAATTTTTGAAGGCTTGCAAACAATAGTTAGCAGCTCACGACTAGCAGTATTAACAAACAAAATTGGCTAAATCCGCCACAAATTTGTGTTTTGCGAGAGTGGTTGCTTGGCAGGTAACCAGCTAAACATCTGGCCGCGCGCACCTGAGGTCGCTTGTAGCTGTGCTAGTTTTTTAGCGCCCGTGCTAAAAACGATCTGTTAAAAAAATTAGCACGGGTCTGATTTATATTTTTTTGCGTGTGTACTGAGCACTCTGTACAGTTTGCAGAGTGGCCGCGAGCCCTGCAGACTGATTCAAGAGGGCAGCGTTCGTCGCTCTGTCTCCCTCGCAGCCGCAAAGGCATGCCCCATGAGTGCGAGAGAGACAGAGCGGCGAACACTACACTCTCGTGAATCGGTCTGCTGTCGTGACCGCGCCAAAGCCCGCGCCCCGCTCGGCCGCGGTCCTCTACATCCCTGCAGACTGATTCCGAGAGTCGTTTTCGTCACTCTGTCTCGCTGAGACGCGCCCGCGAGTGCGAGAGAGACAGAGCGACGAAAACGGCTCTTGGAATGAGTCTGTAGCATCATTCCCAGCGCCGCCCCTCCAACTCGTCAACTATTTATTTTCTCGCGCTCTCTACTCCCCCCCCCTCTCTCTCTCTCTCTCTCTCTCTCTCTCTCTCTCTCTCTCTCTCTCTCTCTCTCTCTCGCTCTCTCACGTGGCAAGCCGGAGTTGTTTCTGCTGATGTGGCGATCTGCGCAGGGCTGCAGGTGCAACTTTTCGCAAACTTTTCGCAAAAAGACGTCAGCTCCGCAGTTAACGTTGCAGCAGCCAGCCATCGAAGGGGGTGGCGGTGGAGATCGAACACCGAACATGCATCGAACATCGAACCCCTCCCTCCCCCTTTACCTCTTCCTCTTCCTCGTCCAGACAAGCAACACGGTCACACGTCACAAAATCTGATCTCCGAGAAAGGGGGCCCTCGTGCGCCTCGACCTTACCCCGTGACCTGCACCCCGCGACCCGGGCCCCGACAGCGCGCAGCGCGCACCGCAATTTAAAGTTAGCTCCCCACGTGCCTGGCGGAGTGTAACGGAGTGGCGGGGCGGCGCGGGGCCTCGGACGCCTGTCCTGCGATTAGTTCTATCCGGCGGCGCCACCTGCTGTCGCGACACACACACACACACACACACACACAGACTCGCGCGCGACAAGATTCGCATGGTACGCACGGGGCGTCGAGATAATCGAATCAGACGAACGATTCCATTCATTCTCCCCGATTGGGTGCTGGCGGCCCTGGCGGCCCTGGCGGCCCGGCCTGACTGCCTCCGCCTGCCGGCTGCCGGCCTGGTTCCAATGGTCTATGGTTCTGATCGTCACCCGGCCCGGCCTCTGCCCCGCCCCGCCCCGCCCCGCCCCGCCCCGCCCCGCCCCCCCGGCCTCCACCCGGCATTCGGGTCGGGGAAAGTTCGGCGAGGGAAATTAGATGCTTGCGCTGCTTTGCGCTGCTGGCGTGTGCCGGGCAGGAACAATGCCAGCATCATTGACTCGATTAACAACGGAGCGCCAAACTTTTTAAAAGTGGACAAAGAGGCCTTTTCGGGGCGTGGAAAGGAGAAGGGGAAGAAAAAGAAGAAAGAGGCGGCAGCGCGGGTCGCACCGGCGCCACACCGTCGTCACACTCACCGATCTGGCCCAGGATGGGGCCGAAGTAGAGGCTGTTGTAGATGAAGACGGGCATCTTGGCCAGCAGGAAGAAGTCCGAGATGGCCAGGTTGGCGATGAGGATATTAGCAGGTGATCGCAGGGACCGGCACCTACAAAGATAAATGGCCAAAGTTTACAGAGGACCAGCACTAAAAACAAAAATGAAAGAGGGAAAAGGCCTTGGGTTAAGATTGTTTGTCTTTTTTTTACGAGAAAAATTATGCTGAAAGTCAATTAGCAGCAGGTAGGGTGAACACAGAGCTCTAAGAGTTTCCGGCCTCTGTGGCTGCGCTCGCCCGTCGCAGCGCGTCGCAGCGCGTGGGGAAGGGATTCGACTCGCGAGGCGCAGCTGTGTTGAGGGCTCCGGATGTTGCCTGCCTGCCAGGCGCTCCACCACCCTATGCCGGCCTCGGCCTGACCGCGGCTTAAGCTTGACTTCGTGTTCCGAATCCGAAAAAAGTTTCCAGCGCTGTTTGTTTCGGTAGAGCCCCCCCCCCCTCCGGCTGCCCGGAACCAATGAGGAGGTAAGTGTACTTAATTAGCGGCCGTCTCCACCTAAGCTCCTTCCGAGGCCGCCGCACAGTGGGCCAGAAGACCGGTGGAGGCAGTCAAAATCCCGGACGCGTTTTGAGCTGCAGAGTCGCTAAACAGGACTCGAGCTGAACGTGTGACCCCACCAATGGATTGCTCTCCGAACGAGGAATCCATTGGTGGGGTCACACGCTCGGTTCGAGTCCTGCTTAGCGACTCTGCAGCTCAAAACGCGTCTTGAGTTGTGGCCGCCTGCACCGGTCTTCTGACCCACTGTGTGGCGGGGCCCTGGAGGGACCCTGGAGGGGACCACCGGGGCTCGGGGAGCTTCTCCGGGTCGACTCCTGTCCGGAGTGACTGCGGCCCGTCCGTGCCAGTGACACCATCACCCCGCAGCGCCCCGCAGCGCCCCGCAGCGCCGCAGCCCGACGTCCCGCTGACATTGGGCCCGGGGCGGTAATTGTGTTGCCGTCGTGATGTTCGCACTCACGAAATGGCGTCACAGTGGGCCAGAAGACCGGCGCAAGCGGCCAAAACCCTAGACGCGGTTAGAGCTCCAGAATCGCTAAACAGGACTCGAACCGAGCGTGTGACCCCACCAATGGATTCCTCGTTCGGAGAGCAATCCATTGGTGGTGTCACACGTTCGGCTCGAGACCCATTCAGCGAATCTGCAGCTCAAAACGCGTCCGGGATTTTGACCGCCTCCACCGGTCTTCTGGCCCACTGTGACTGACTGCCGGAACCTAGATTGATGACTTCTGAAAGAAGCATCACTATCATCTGCCGGACTTTAATCTTTGGGCAACACCAGAACGTCAAACAAATCATCTAGGTCTTAGCAAAATCGTTTCTTTTCCCGTCAATAAATTGAGAAATCACTTTTTTACAGCCGTTGACTTTATTTCTTCAGAGAAGCGGGCGCCTCTGGGTCTCTTGTGAACGACACTGAAAACTCGAGTGTGCACTGAGGACACACTTTTAGCTCGAAAGTGTGTATCGGAGCACACACTTAGTTTCCAGTGCACGAATGGAATCGATTTATAAATAATTCGAAACGCAATCAGCGATTCGTCGAAGCGATTGACGCCCGACGACCGGAAAATGGACGAGACCGGGACACTGCCGGCGTGCGTGACGAGTCGATGGGTCACGATCTGCGCCGGCTTTGTCAACACTTGCCAGCACTGGGGATGAGTTGGGTCATGCATGATTGCCGCGTCTGGCACAAAGCACTTCCCCCGCCTCTGTTCTGCTCCCGTTTTTTCTTAATTCAGCACCCTTGGTGCCCTTGGCGCTCTGCAGCGACTTACGGTGCAGTGCACTTACGGGGTAATGCGTTCGGGGAGAGCAGGGAGGGGGCCTGAAGGGGAAGTTTGTCAGCGCGGTAACGACCGTCACATAAATTGAATGTCTGCGAAACGGGCGGCGGAGAGGCTTTTCGCGCGAGCCTGCCCCTATGCGCACAGTGGGCTAGAGGACCGGTGGAGGTGGTCAAAATCCCGTATGCGTTTTGAGCTCCAGAGTCGCTAAATGGGACCTGAACCGATCGAGTGACCCCGCACCAATGGATTGCTCTCCGAACGAGGAATCCATTGGTGGGGCACACGCTAGGTTCGAGTCCTGTTTAGCGACTCTGGAGCTCAAAACGCGTCTAGGGGTTTGGCCGCATACGCTGTGTGCCGCGCGCCTCGTCAGCCGGAGAGCGCCTGCGAAGTCGAGGGTAGGCAGCCCGGCGAGGCTCTGCGGCGCGCGGGACGCTCCGCTGCCTACCTCGCAGGCGCTCGGGCCGCAGGCCGTGCCTCTTCGCTCTGTTGGTGGGGTCACAAGCTCGGTTCGAGTCCTGTTTAGCGACTCAGGAGCTCAAAACGTGTCCGGGATTTTGACCTCCTCGAACGGTCTTCTGGTCCACTGTGCTCCGTGTATGTACACTTAAAACAAACCTAACCTAGACCTTAGGCACCTGGTAGACTCAAAACTGTATCAAAATATCTTTAAAAAGTGCATTAAATTGCGTCATTTCTGGGACAAAAAAAGTCCCATGATATTTAATGTGCAGCTGGCAGCAAATGGCGGTTGATCGGATGCTTGTGATTGCCGCAAAGGTAGGAGGCTCTCCCCGCACACTCGCTCACGACCACCAGTGTAGTCGTCGATGGCCATTTAGGGGCGGACGAGTGGAGAGAGCGCGTTCTGGCAGTCAGGGCGAAGAGTACCACTCTTTCCCTTTCCAGCAGAGTTGAAACCATTACTTCCCAGCAGACTGATTCCAAGAGTCGTTTTCGTCGCTCTGTCTCTCTCGCACCTATGCGGGGCTCCCATGAGTGCGAGAGAGACAGAGCGACGAAAACGACTCTCGGAATCAGTCTGCAGATCGGGAAGGGAACGCGGCTTGTCAGAGCACTGCTCCGCCTCTCCTGCTGCTCGATTCCGAGCGGTGTGCTCAGTCTCTCTCGCAGTCCGTGGGGCGTCTGGGGCGCGAGAGAGACGGGGCTGCCTTCTGCGCCTCGCCGTGTCGCCGTGGGCCCTTCCAGCCGCATCGTTTTTCCGAACGAATAGAGTGCGGGAAAGGGAGTCAAGGGCTGCGAAAGGGGGGGGGGTTAATGATGCAGCGGTTACAGTGCATCGGACCGCAGAGGGCGCCCTCCATATGCACGACGTATTGGGAGGAGCTCGCGGGGCCCGGGCGGGGCCCCAGCAGAGAACCCACCAGCCGCACAGTGGGCCAGAAGACCGGTGGAAGCGGTCAAAACTCCAGGCGCGTTTCGAGCTCCAGAGTCGCTAAATGGGACTCGAACCGAACGTGTGACCCCACCAATGGATTGCTCTCCGAACGAGGAGGTCATTGATGGGGTCACACGCTCGGTTCGAGCCCTGATAAGCGACTCTGGAGCTCAAAACACGTCCGGAGTTTTGGCCGCCTCCACTGGTCTTCTGGCCCACTGTGAGCCGCCTGATGACGGAGGCTCATTGCGTCGCTCTGTCTCTCTCCCACGCATGGGGCGTCCCGTCCAGGGGCGAGAGAGACAGAGCGACGGAACGGTGCTTCGGACCAGGCGGCCCCACGAGGGAACGCACCATGGGTAGACTGATTCCGTCGTTTGGGTCACTCTGTCTCTCGCGCACCCACGCCTCATGAGTGCGAGAGAGACAGAGCGACGGTGACGACTCTCGGAATCAGTCCGCAGGGCGAGAGAGAAGAATAATGGCGGTCGGTTCGTCATTCGGCGAGGTGTAGTCGCTTCGACAGCCGACGCGGAACGCATCAGCAACTCTGCCTAACGAACGGGGCGAACGGCGTGAAGCAAAAAAGGTGTGCACAATAACGAAATCCGGAAACATGCAACACCAGGAAGCAGGGAACCATACCTACGCCAGGGCCACGGCTACGCCAGGGCCACGCCAGGGCCACGCCAGGGCCACGCCAGGGCCACGCCAGGGCCACGCCAGGGCCACGCCAGGGCCACGCCAGGGCCACGCCAGGGCCACGCCAGGGCCACGCCAGGGCCACGCCAGGGCCACGCCAGGGCCACGCCAGGGCCACGCCAGGGCCACGCCAGGGCCACGCCAGGGCCACGCCAGGGCCACGCCAGGGCCACGCCAGGGCCACGCCAGGGCTACGCCACGCCAGGGCCACGCCAGGGGAGGGAGGCGCGGAGCGTGGAGTTCGCTGGATCAGCGTGCCAACGGCGTCAACGGCGCTGGAGTGCACTGGAGTGGGGCGGCCCGGGCCGGGTGGCCTGAAGACTCATTCCGAGAGTCGTTTTCGTCGCTCTGTCTCTCTCGTGCTCACGGGGCGTACCGTAAGGGTGCGACGAGGCCGACTGAGGCTTGACTTTACGGTGGACTTGACGTGCCCCGCACTGCATGTCACCGCCGAGTCAACCCTACGCCCTACGCTCTACGCGCAGCCTGGGCCGAGTAAAAGTAAGTTGGGTCGAGAGAACAGAACGAGCTGGGACGAGCTGCCCTGCACACCGATTCCAAGAGTCGTTTTCGTCGCTCTGTCTTTCTCGCGCTCATAGGGGACGCCCCATGAGTGCGAGAGAGACAGAGCGACGAAACCGACTCTCGGAATCAGTCTGCTGCTGCGAGCAGCCCCCGCTTGGCGTGGTAGCTCCGCGGGCCCGGGAGACTGCTTCCGAGGGTCGCTTCAGTGGCCCTCCCGCGCCCAGTGAGGCCAGCGAGTGCGAGAGAGGCCGAGCGACGAGAACGACTCTCGGAATGAGTCTGCTGGCGGCAGCGAGGGGCGCGCCTGGCCGCGGGCGTGGCAGTGTGGCAGCGAGGGTTCGTGTGAGGGAGAGGGCGACAGAGCGAGAGAGCGGCAGCGTATGGAAATGAGCTTTCGAGACTTTGCCCCCACGCTTCACATATCCGATGACACATTCGCCGCAGGCGGCCCCGTGGTTTTACCGCATGTGTACACTGTCCTTCTTCGCTGTCTCCCTCGCGCCTCCACGGCAAACGAGACGACCCTTGAGAGTGAGAGAGAGGGAACGACGGGGCCACTGTGGGGAGCAGCCAACAGGCCGCAGGCCTCGCCTAGCCTCGCCGAGGGGACGGCGCACGCTCTCCACGA